CATTCTCCAAAAATCATAGAGAAACCTTTTTTCTACAAAATGAAACAAACGGGTTGTTTTTATCTCGATTAGTATTCGAGATAATGACGATTTTTTCTATATTTGCACTAAAATCAGTAATTTCAATGCAATCCTCACAAAAACTCAAAATATCTCAAAAACAACGCGATTTTCGAATATTTCCCATTCTCCAAAAATCATAGAGAAACCTTTTTTCTACAAAATGAAACAAACGGGTTGTTTTTATCTCGATTAGTATTCGAGATAATGACGATTTTTTCTATATTTGCACTAAAATCAGTAATTTCAATGCAATCCTCACAAAAACTCAAAATATCTCAAAAACAACGCGATTTTCGAAAATTTCCCATTCTTCAAAAATTATAGAGAAACCTTTTTTCTACAAAATGAAACAAACGGGTTGTTTTTATCTCGAATACTAATCGAGATAATGACGATTTTTTTCTATATTTGCACTAAAATCAGCAATATCAATACAACCCTCACAAAAACTCAAAATATCTCAAAAACAACGCGATTTTCGAAAATTTCCCATTCTTCAAAAATCATAGAGAAACCTTTTTTCTACAATACGAAATAAACGGGTCGTTGTTATCTCGAATACTAATCGAGATAATGACGATTTTTTTCTATATTTGCACTAAAATCAGCAATATCAATACAACCCTCACAAAAACTCAAAATATCTCAAAAACAATACAATTTTCGAAAATTTCCCATTCTCCAAAAACCACAGAAAAACCAATTTACCGCCACATACCACCCACACCACGTTCCCATCTCTATCACTTTCCGAGACAATCCATTTTCCAATTCAACACCACCTCACATCACAAATTCCAATTCCAGCCAGACATCCATCACAAACAAATAAATAAAAATAAATAAAAAAAAAACGGAACGAATCCCCCGAGGTGTCCGACGCACGTGGGAAGTTCCAAAGGCCCATTTCGCACGCCGAGAGCGAGAGAGAAAGGGAGAGAATCGACACGAATTCGCGTCGGAGAGTTAGCAACAAGTGAAATCCATAAACAAACAAAATACACACCAAGGTCTCCTTCGATCGATGCGCGAATGTAAATGCCAGTAACTCCGGTTACTCCGGCGAGAAACCCCCCGGACATTTTCGGGGGAGGGCGATCGAAGGGATGAACTCTGAAGGGGCCCGTCTATCATATATAGGGAAATTCGAATGCGAAGAAAATGGATGTTTCTATACCAGTATCTATACAGATGGAGGATTTTGCTATTTGATAGGCGGTGTGAAGGTTTTGAAAGTTGTTTTGCGATTTTCACAAAAAACTCGAAATATCTCGAAAATAACGCGATTTTCGAAAATTTCCCATTCTTCGAAATTCATAGAGGAAGCTATGTTCTACAAAATGAAACAAACGGCTTGTTTTTATCTTGATTATTTTTCGAGATAATTGCGATTTTTGTGATAATTGCAATACCATAAATAATTTCGATGCAATCTTAACAAAAACTCGAAATATCTCAAAAACAACGCGATTTTAGAAAATTTCCCATTCTCCAATAATCATAGAGAAACCATTTTTCTACAATATGAAACAAACGGGTTGTTTTTATCTCGATTAGTATTCGAGATAATGACGATTTTTTCTATATTTGCACTAAAATCAGTAATTTCAATGCAATCTTCACAAAACTAAAAATATCTCAAAAACAAGGCAATTTTCGAAAATTTCCCATTCTCCAAAAATCATAGAGAAACCTTTTTTCTACAAAATGAAACAAACGGGTTGTTTTTATCTCGATTAGTTCTCGAGATAATTGCGATTTTAGTGATAATTACAATACCATCATTAATTTCGATGCAATCTTAACAAAAACTCAAAATATCTCAAAAACAACGCGATTTTAGAAAATTTTCTATTCTTCAAAATTCATAGAGAAACCTTTTTTCTACAAAATGAAACAAACGGGTTGTTTTTATCTCGATTAGTTTTCGAGATAATTGCGATTTTAGCGATAATTACAATACCATCATTAATTTCGATGCAATCTTAACAAAAACTCAAAATATCTCAAAAACAACGCGATTTTCGAAAATTTCGCATTCTCCAAAAATCATAAAGAAACTTTTTTTCTACAATACGAAATAAACGGGTTGTTTTTACCAGTATCTATACAGATATCTGATTGAGGATTTTGCTATTTTGCTACCCCTAAATGTTCAGTAAATAAATTGGGCATAATCGCCCACGTAACCTACCCTTAACTTCGGTAATTACTGGCTCCCTTTAGGGACATCATCCCCTGGAATTCGTCTGGCCTTTCCTTTCCTTTCCTTTCGCTGTAATTGGTGGTGTTTTCCTCCGTATAAAATCGCGCAAAGGTAAAGGTAAAAAAAAGGGGTGATATATCGGGGCAAGGTCGGGGTGTATAAATGTCGAAAAAATACAAAAAAAAAATGTCAAGGTCGCCGTTTTAATGGCACTTTTTTTTGTCCCGCGTGAGGGGAGAGGTTGGGCCCCTCTAGGGGGCGGTTTCGGGGAAGGGGCCGTTTAAATTGAAAGAGTTCCGAGACTCGCTAATTTCTCCGAAAGGATCCGGAATATTTTAGCGCGAAATTTCCTCTCTCGAATAGATGATTAATTAATTAAATGGGATTCGACGAGAAGTCGCCATTTTTATAAGCTCGTTTTGGCGTTTAATTTTTTTTAGAATGTTCTAACTTATTTTTTCAACCGTAATTTTACAATTCCCTGCAGAGGTATTTGATTACTTTATTAGAACACCCTGTATACTTCCATTTTGTAAATACATAATTGAAATTTCGCTTTGTAACGGGTTATTAATTAAAAAGCGAACGAAAAGAAAAAAATAATATAACAGAAAAATAACGTTATTAAACGCTCGAAAGTAGTACAGAAATTTTGATTATAATTATTAAAATGAATTGTAACGAATAAATTATGAATGAAACACGTTGATATAATGGGCCAGAAAAAAAATTGTGTATATAGCGTGTACGCGGCCCATTTCTAGGTCGAATAAAATGTATATTCGATTAATATTATATACCGGGTGCGTCTAATAATACGAAATTTTATTTTATCGAATCACCCTATATTTTTGCGTTAATAAAATGTCACCTAATACGGCCCTGTAGACGTTTAATTTATTTAATACAGGGTGGTCAAAAATAGTGTTAACAACCTTCCATTGAATTAGAGTGCTGTGGAAATTAAATCGGGTCGTTTAAATATAGAAATAATTCGCGAAAATCCGAATTCAAAAGAAGCCCGCGTGCGTTTAATAAAGCGTAACTGCCGGTAAATAAACCTTTAAAATTCCGAGCGATTTTAATGAGTTTTTCGGCGGGTTTCTCTCTCTCACCCGTTTACTCCGTTCGCCTAATTAAAACCAAACAACGCGATATATTGTTCGAAAATAGAACGCGCCAATTTATATCCAGATTGTCCAGAGAACACGTGCGAACACATCGAATCGCCCCCGTATATAACGTTCCTAATTTACGAACACCGCAATACCAGGGAGGTACGATTGATACTAAAACGACCAGAGTGGAGAAATCTAGCTTATTCGATCGATTAAAGTAACATTTCGAATCGCCCCCGTATATAACGTTCCTATTTACGAATACCGCATACCGGTGAGGTACGATTATTACTCGAACGAGTCGAATAGTTAACGAATTTAGCTCATTCGAATGATTAATGGAACTTTTCGAATCGCCCCCGTAGCGTTCCTGTTTATACCAATCGCACGAGGGCGATAAATACAGCTTATTCGATTTAAAAAAAAAGGAACATTTCTCGTCCCCCTCGTAGTATTTCTATTTAAGAATCGTACGAGGGAGGTGCGATTAATACTAAAACGATCAGAGTGGCAGAAATCCAGATTGATTAAAGCGCGACATTTCGAATCGCCCTCGTATTTAGTGTTATTAAGGAATCGCACGAGGGTGGTGCGATTAATACTCGATTATAATTTGTGTGATCGATCGAGAACACCCGCGGATAAATCCAAACTCGTTCGATTGATTAAGGGGAAGATTTCGAACGACGCCCGTATTATTATAATTTTTTTTTATTAAAGTAAATACCAGGGGAGCGCCATAAATTCGCATCGCTTTCGAATGGATTTTGATGGTAGATTCGATGAATGTTTACCGCCCCCGGAGAGCGAAAATTCCTAATGAAACGGGGCGAAATTGATCGAAAGATTCATCTAGATTTGTTTTCGTATAATTATTGAGAATTGGAGAATAAAATTATTAAATAGAATGTTAAAAACTCGATTATTAGAATAGAATATAGAATTCTCCCTAGTTTTTTATACTATTTCGCTCGATATATTTTGTTTAATTAGCGACAAAATAACTTCGTCCTAATTAGATATCACTTCAGAAATAATAATCCCATCAGTATACATAAACAGCAAAATCGCACGGGTAGAATTACCGGGGATATACGATACGTAATTCCGAACAATTTCCCGATCATTAAGACGACATTCATGCAAGTAAATTGGATTTTCTCCATTCGTAGAAAACGTAATATTCCCGTTATATTTTACGCCGAAGCGATTCCACTTTATATTTCCCATCGAATCGAATCCGAATTCCGAAATCGAATCGTCAGCACAATCCGAAACAATTATCGCTTTTCCGACGACTTTTCCGACTAATTTACACGACGATTCGCTTAATAAGTTCATTATAGGTACGAAAATATTGAGAAAATTTACAACCACTATTGCTTAATTGCGCGATATCTTAACTACAATTAAACTTGTTTAACCGTAGACTTAACGGTCGGTTAAATTAAAACGAAGGGTTAGTTAAAAAAAAGTGACAAAAAAATCTTAGACTTAACGGTCGGTTAAATTAAAACGAATGGCTAGTTAAAAAAACGTAAAAAAAAAATTTTAGACTTAACGGTCGGTTAAATTAAACCGAATGGTTATAGTTAAAGTTTAAAAAAAAAATCTTACCGGACATTGGCGAGCGTGTGTCTCCTGTTCCTGAGGTACCGGTTGTGGTGTTTCTGCAAATCGGCGATCGTCCCTTGTTCGGCCTGCATCCTGCAAGAGGACTGCCCTTCGGCTTGTTGTTGTTGTTGTTGTTGTTGTTGTCGGGCCCTTTGGCCCTTTCGGCCGATGCTCAAAATCGAGAAGGTCGGCGACGTCGATTGTACATTCGACCGTTTCGCCGTCAGTCTCCCTTTTTCGAAAATAAACGGAAGATTTGTTAAATCGATGAGCGATCGAATATGCTCTGTTAATGTGTATAGATTTGATTTACAGTGATATGTATGGAAGTAGTCGAGCTCGCGCAGCGAAAATGTGCTTTCGATGAACTAAGGGAATTAACTTAATTCTGGTAGGTGGTAATATTCAAGGCGATTGGGAGGATGATAGACAGTAATAAAAGTGGGGAGATTGTATAAAAAATATTAGAGTAGGGAGAATTTTAAAATCTGGTAAAAGTAGGAAGAAAGTAAAAGAAATATTAAAGTAGAGAGAACGTTAATACCTGATAAAAGTAGAGAGAATTTAAAAAAAATATACTAAAGTCGAGAGAACGTAAAAATCTGATAAAAAAAGTACCTACCTAGAATCTAGAATTGTAAAAAAATATTGAAGTAGAGAGAACGTTAATTTCTGATAAAAGTAGAGAATGCAAAAAAATTATTAAAGTAGGAAGAACATTAATACTTGAAAAAAGTTGAAAGAACGTAAAAATCTCATAATAATAAGTACTTACCTAGAATCTAGAATTGTAAAAAAATATTGAAGTAGAGAGAACATTAATTTCTGATAAAAGTAGAGAGAATGCAAAAAAAATATTAAAGTAGGGAGAACGTTAATACCTGAAAAAAGTAGAGAAACGTAAAAATCTGATAAAAGTAAGTACCAACTTAGAATCTAGAATTGTAAAATATATTAAAGTAGAGAGAACGTTGATTTCTGATAAAAGTAGAGAGAATGCAAAAAATATATTAAAGTAGAGAGAACGTTAATACCTGAAAGAAACTAGAGAGAATGTAAAAAAAATCATTAATGTAGAGAGAACGCTAAAATATGAAAAAAAAAGTAGAAAGAATTCATACTAAAATTTCTAGAGGACCAAATTTTAAACAGTTACAACAAAAAAAAGTAACCTACCTCCGAGCGGCTGGAGCGTGCTCTGTCCCTCATCCTCGTCCTCCAGGATCGCTTCCTCCTCCTCGATGTCGGGCAGCTCGACGGCTGCGGCGGCGGCGGCGGCGGCCGCGACTGAGGCGGCTCGCGACGGCGGCGACGGCGGCGTCCCGGACGCCGGTGGCGATAGGTCAGGGCCGGCCGGCTTGCCTTCGGGCGCGCCGCACCAAGGCAAGCAGCACTTCCAGGCCCCGACCAGCGTGCCGACCTTTTGCCTCTATCCAAGACCGACACTCCTACAACAACAAACAACAACACCAAAATCACAACCGACAAACCACCAAATGACAAGCGACAAACGACAGATGACAAGTGACAAACGACAAGTGACAGATGGCAGATGACAAGTGACATATGACAGATGACAAGTGACAGATGGCATATGACAAGTGAGATAATGCAGATGAGAAGGAAATTATATGAAATGTACAGGCGCGATGATGTTGTGCTGGGGTGAAAGTGTTTTTCCTTTGAGTCGATGTCAAAGGGATCGTTTCCAATCAGGTGTGTGTGTGTGTGTGTGTGTGAGCATTGAGGAATATTATTTTTAACGAAAATCAATGGTCGTTAGTTTTGCCCTAATTACGATAACGATTTTAAATAGAAATTGTATAGGTATTACTGAATTATTTCGAATGCTGCTCTAATGGTTTTTTATCTAAAAATATACGGGCACGTTATAGACGTAATTAGAGGGGTGATTGTTGGTCGTAATATACAGAGTGTCCGTTGAAAGTGTGTAATTTACAGGGTGGGCTGAAAAAAATATATCGAACGTTCCGATATATATAAAAAACGATGTTTCGTTTGATGTTATTTACTCGAAATCGAGCATCTGAATCATCTGTTTTCCATTTAGCAGTCGGAAAATTGTATTTTTAGTACCTACGGCGCGTTATGCAAGTTACAACACATAAATCCGATTTTTTTTTTTTTTCGCTCGTTCTCGCCCGATCGGAAATAAAATTCTCTCACCTGCGTTTCGATTTCGATGCGAACTCGAAAATAAACTTGGTAGCTAAAAGTAGCTAATTAATATAGCTAAAAGTAGAGAGAAAAATATCCAAGCGAATCGAACAAATAACGCAAAACATTTCCCGATATTATTCAATATAACCGGCTAATAAACGAATAAGTTTTACGACGGGTTTTACGCCTTATTAAATTACACCGTAAACTCGATTTTTTTTTTCCTCGATTATTCCTCTATACACTAATTCGACGAAATAAATAAAAACGTGTTGAATTATCGTCTGAATAAAAATTTTTATTTACCCACCAAGCACCTACAAAATTATCCATTAATACTCCAATTTTAACGACTTATAACACAACTCATAGTGACAAGCCACAATTGACAATTGACATAGTGACAGTCGAGAAAGTGACAATTGACATAGTGACAGTTGAGAGAGCGATTTATGGGTATTATTGTATGGGTACGAATAAAATATTAACGAGGATTGTAAAGGGAAAGGACAATGAAGGCGGCGGAATCGATAAAGTAATTAAAGTCGGGAGATACTTGGAATATCCTCTTGTTGTAAATCAATACGCGCGGCTTTTTCTCCTTGCACTTTTCCCGCTCGGTTTCGCGCGGGGCGACTTTTCTTTTTTTTCGCTTTATTTTTTTCCTCTTCTCTTATTCCGTTCTATCGCCTTTCGTTGGGTTATAAACGATCCCCTTTTTCGAGACCGTACACCTTGCGAAAGGGATCGAAATTGCGCCTAATCTTGCGGTATAGATTCGACTTTTTAATCCCCATTTAGTATCTAATCGAAGAAATGGTGTTTGATTGGAAGGATGCGATGATTGAGGGTTTTTAAATTATTGTAATTCGATCTATAAACGTTTGTTATCGACTAGAATTTTGTGTTGCACTTAGTGTACATTTTCTTTCGTATAATACTGCAAAGCTTTGCTGCGAGAAACTTAATTTCCGTTGCTATTTATAGCGAAAACTTAATTTTCCAACACTCCGTTTTATTACAACCCTGCACTCGAAACTTTTTACCTCGATTACAAGATTACAAGCAAACAGGTATACGAAATTGGTATAAATTTAATCCGATTTCAATCGAATTATTAAAAATCCCCATTTTAAAAGACATGTAAATATCATCACCTGTTGCCACTGTGCGTTGAAAAATCCAATGTTCCCACGATTTCCACACACAATCCGCCAAAAAAAAAATATATAAATAAATAAAAAACAAAGCCACTCTATCGATTCCCGTATATCGATTGCATTAGCACCGTTTTAAATAAAAGATAACGGCGATAACGGGCGAAAAAAAACACACCACACACACACACTCACATTCGATTATAAATGGCCAGCAACGATGGAGGAAATTTCCCGCGTGCAGTGGCCGAAAAATCCGCGGAAAAACTGCCCGATTTTCCGACGGCTTTCAACGCAGGTTATTTCTGGTTGATGTTGTTGTAGTAGGAGTGCTCGATCGCCGTTTCGTTTCCCGTTATAACCATCATCGATACACCATTTCAGAGCACTACACAACCCCTTAATTTTCCTAACCCCCTATCGCATTGTAGGGTTATCTAACTCACTACAAACACTTATCGCGCCCATATCGCGATAGAAAACATCCACATTACGGCGATGTACGCGGAAATTCCTATCGGGTTTTCCGCGTCCGAGCTATCGCGTCGGTTTTTCCTGGCGGTGGAGCGGTTTATAAATCGGGTGGAAAATCCGCACGTTCGCCCGAAAACAGCTGAGTCGTTACTGGATCGGTCGGATGGTGGCGCTTTTCCACCTCTACATCATATCGAACCGGCGAGGAATATAGGAGGGATCTCTACGACTGGTTTCGGGGATGCGGAAAACCGGATTTTCCCGACTTTTCCGAACGCGGTGCTGCCGTCGCGGCGTCGCGACGCCCTAAACGACGCTCGTTCTGGCCCTTTCTCTGTATCACCGTCGCCCTATCGCAATCCCTTTCTCTTTAATAAACCCCTTTTTCGGAGATTTTTTTTTATCACCCTGTAACTCGCTTACTTTTCTACATAGAGTCGATGATTTTACTCAAACTTATCCCCAGTCAATTATCTAATCAATACAGTTACTCACTCTTAACCAGTAGAATCAATTATCTACCTAAGATAATTAATTAACTGCTCCATTACATTCCCAATAGAATTATCTACTTGATAATTAATTACTATATAATTTTGTTAATAGAATCTATAATTATCTAAGCGATTGGGTCGATATTATCTAATAGTCAATTATCTACCTAAGATAATCAACAACTCTATTACTTACTTAATAGAATTAATTATCTAAGCGATTCAGTAGATTAAACGACTCAATATTATCTTAAATTCAATTATCTAACTAAGATAATTAACTACTCTATTTCTAGTACTAACGAGAGAGTCAATTACTCTAATTATTGTCAGTAAGAGTCGATCTACTATCTAATTACTTTTCTGTAGATTTTTAATATTAAAAACGTGTTTTTTTTTATTCGATATCATCGAAATCGAGTGGGAGAGAGCCGGGCAAATAAAAATATAAATCCGTCCGGTGCAATAAAAATAAATTTATGATTGAAGCGTGAGCGAAAAATTAGGTTGGTTCGAATTTAATACCGACGGTGTTCGGCGATATTCTGGATATTTTCTGGATGTATTTTCGCTCGAATTCGCGAGGCTGAATAAATAAGGAAACCGTTCGTTATTTACAACCCCGAAGGGGAGTTCCCCGACCACGCATCGACGTAATATACGCCAGGAAAATCGTTAGTTTTCCGGATTTTCCGCGAGAATCGGGCGACCTCGTAGCCTTCGGCATACAAAACGCAGTTTTGTTCGACTGAATAGTCGAAATATGGTTACTAGGCAACACAAATTACACGTTTGTTGAGGTGAAAGCGCGCTGGAGAAATAAAACAAACGGCTTACAAAATTAATCCTCTAATAAAAAAAAATACATAAAATTCGCTACAAAAAAAAAAACCAAACGGATACTAGTACTTAGGAGTCCGGCAGCCACACTTCCATAGGCAGTTTAACGAAGGCCTTATTGAGGAAAACTTTGAAATATTTAGCCAGCGCTGCGTTTGCGGCAGGTCGCATTTCTTTCACGATTTCATCGGAATGTCGATTCAAAAACTGATTCATAGCCTCCCCTTAAACAACAATCGTTAAATACACATCGATTTATCCCGTAAAATGCAACTTAAAGCGTGCGTAAACGAATACAGTGCAATGGTGGTTGCCTAACTTCAGTGTAATGAGTGTTGCCTACTTCGATAAAATGGTGCATCACTTACCGATTAAATTCCCGTCGTTGAAAACATCCTTGAGCCTGAACCGCGTTTTTTTCAATCGAAAATCCACCAATATCTTCTCCACAGCCATGAATGGGCTCGTTCGACACTTTTTTTTTATTTGCTTTTTGGAAAGACCACACAATTTTAAGTCACTATGCAAAAAATCAGAATTAAATTCCATGTAGAAGTCACTTAAAAAGGCCTTAAAAACCGTCGCGCCGAGCGTTCGCTCGAATCGATTGTGACGTCACTGCATGCGTTGCGAGATCAAATTTGTAATATAGGCTGTCGATTGATAATATTGAAACGCGCTTTTAGGGTTTTAAATAGGCTTAGGGAGTTTTAAATAATGACGGACAATAAATCAAAAAATAGTTATAAATATTGCATTGTTCCCAAATGTCGAAGCACTAGTTTTAAGACGCCTAATAAAGGCGCCTAAATACCTAAATAAGACGCCTTCCGCGCGATTTAAGAAAAAACAAATTGTGGCAAAAATCAATGAAAAGAAGTATATGTTGGTTAGTACAAAATCAAGACATTTTGTCTGTGAAGATCATTTTAATATAATTATTAATTATAATAATTAGCTTGCTTAGTAAAAATAATTAAATTTTTTAGTTTGAAAACGATATGGAAAATTACATGTATTTTAAAACAATGGCTAATTCCCAATAAAGCAAGATGTTGTACCTAATATCTTCGACTGCCAAAAATTTCAAAGCGTTAAACACACTGTACAAGCAAGAACAATAGTTTTAAAAAGACAGCGGTAAACTACTGTCTAGGATTTGTCTAGTTGTTCTAAAAGTACTCGGAATGAACAGAACTATGATATGGATGATGTGAATTTGACAATGGATAAAAATTTAAACAACACTATTACAAATAAGGCCTGTCATAAAAAAATCAAGTTTATATAAACATAATGCCCAAACTTTTTTCAAAACAAGCTTAGTGTGATTTGACTCGTTCGGGACAGTTACCATATGATTTTACTAGTAAATTAGATGACACTCTTCCTATTTCTTCAAGTGATTCTTCAGAATTTGTGACTACTTGATCGGGATCATTTTTTGTTAATTCTGAGTCAACTTGGTCTAATGAAAAAGAGAACATTATAAAAAGGGTAATGCATGTTATAGAGCAAAATCCAAAACTTACATAGGTAGGTATTAGTTATTATTTAGGTATTCCTAAATATTTTTACGAACATAATCTCATTAATCGATAACCAAAATAATATACTTACAATTAGCATTAATTATTTATTATAATTACCCTATATAATCAATTAAACATAGTCGTTAAAAATACGAAACGATCGCGAATGCAATGCAAATTAAGTGAATGCGAAGCGGACAGCGGAGAGATCGCATGCAGTGACGTCGTCATCGTACTATCGCGGAGACAAATAATCGCATCTTTAAACTCGAATAATCAAAGAACCGCTGATCGGATCAACTTGAAACTTTCAGTAACCATTTTTTTTGACCTCTTCTTTATGTATATAAACTTTGATCAAATTCTAAATTTTATCGAATGAGCCCATTTAACGCCCTTTTCGTCGGAGAACTCCTTGCCGTAGATCCTACCGGCGCCATTTACATCGTCTGCACAAGCGAGGAAATTGTTACTATTAGAAGGGAAAATTGGCTGGGTTACTTACTGAACACGGCCCAAAAGTCGCCCTTCGATTTGATGGGAAACAACAGCACGTTCCCATCGACATCGTATTTCCCGGTGGCTTCGACTTTGGGCAGGTGCAGCTTCAATTCGATCACGTACTTGCTCAAATCGGCGCTGAAACGGAAACGGAAACGGACATCTTGAATTATCGAAATCGAATCTACCTGTCAAAAGTCACAAAAAAATCGATTCGACGCGTTCCGTCGAAACGAACAATCGATTCTATCTGTCAAATAAACGATTCGTTTTTTCTCGCTTTAAATAATTAAATTTTTACTTTATTCCCGTAACGGTGTAATCGCTGGCGCCGTCGGCGGTGATATTGAAAAACAGCGCTTTGATTTTGATGGGGCCCCGTCCGTTTTCCATTACCATGTTATCGATTACTAACGGATCGATGCTGGGCACGTCGATTTCCTCGATTCCGGTCTTCAAATAGGGACGCAGATGGTTGAAGGTGTTCGCCAGGCATTTGTTGATGTTCTCGTGCGATCTCGGACAGGGAATTATGTATTCCGCTGGAAAATATACCGGGAAATTCGTTAGGAATGTTGGCTGGCTGGATAATCGAAATGTTCAGGCTAGTTCGGCGTGCGTCAAATTCGACAACATGGCGGAAGTAAGTTTTTTTGTATCTAGTCGTGTGATAGTTGTGGTTATTGTCTAATTAACGCAATTTTACGGAATATCTGAGCAAATGCGACATTTTAACGGATCACTTCGCGCTAAGTAGCGTTATCGCATGATACTTTCACTGTGAGTAAAAATTACATAATTCCTCGACTTGTCTTTTGTTTGTAACCTAGATTCGCCCGGCTGGGAAGTACATAAGTAGGTTTTAGAGTAAATGGAAAAAAAAAGCCGCGGCGTCAAAACGGTTCAATTTCGCACTTTATGTAATAAATAATAATCGGTAATACTCGGAGTTTTTTTCAATTGAAATGCGTGTTATATACCGAGTGTTATGCAATTTATGTGCGCACGAATTTTGATTTAAACTGGCGAATTTTGATGATTAATTTATACATAAAATAGTAATATTTTTAACAGACTGTTAGTGCATTATATTATAGAATAAAATTATAGATAGTTTACCTTAAAATCCCACAAAAAAATACAGTAATTTAAAAAAAAAACTTACGAATTTTCACTGTGTTATTTCCACCGGTAATCTCCGCAGAGTGAGCGAAATTCGTCAAAGCGAATAAGAGAAAAGCCTGGATAATAATTCCGGTTTCCATTTTAAATCGGATTTTGCCAATAACTGAACTATGCCGGACCGAATGGACAAATTTAAATTATAAAGCGCCATTGCTCAACGCACCCAACAGGGATTAATTTAAGTGAAAGCGAACCGACAATGCGAGTAGGGATATAGCATTGGATTATTTGAGAGAGAGAGAGAGGTGGATTTTCCGTGAATTTTGCAAAAAAATTAATACGAAAAAAAAAATTGCTGCGTACTCGAATAGGTCAAGACCATTTTTTTTTTAATTAAAATGTCAATCAATCGATGTCGAAACCCTAATAGAGGAAATATTGGTAACCCTGATATTTTTATAATAGCTTATTTGATATAAAATTAATATAGTATCTACTTACCTACTGTAGTATTATTAATTTAATTACATTTTTTTGGAGACACCCTGTATAAACAACACCAGCGCCATCTCGAGTAAAACCATTCGCTATAAATCGCCTACTAGATTTCAATTTCTTATATTCCAAGCTCGCTCGCTAGATGGCGGATATTCCGAAATAAATCAGGGCCTAGACAGCCTTATGAGAAATTTTAGACGTTCATTTAGTTTCGGCGCTATTGATAGATGGCGCAACAGTAGTTTATTTCAGGTCAGCGCAAGCAACCCGCTCAACGCCGTATTTCAAAAACAATAATGGCGTCTTGTATTGATTCGCATCGATTCGATTCTGCATATTTTCTCTTGTAGTGCAAGATGAAGTTAAAACCGAAAAGTTATTTTTTTTCATTTATTTCGTTTGTTTTCGAGTGAGTTTAAAAGGCATTGTTATTGCCTGTAAGTTGTATAAGTTTTGTGTATAGTAGTGTTAGTGAATTGTTAGTGAGGAATTGTGTAAAGTTAAAGTTAAATCTTTCGTTCTATTGCTTGTTTTTACAGCGCGTAGTGAATTTTTCTGGTTCCGTCATAATATTTGTTTATTTAGCGATTTTATTTAAATTTAATGAATTTTGACATTTTTTTCAATATATTTTTAAGTAGAAGTGTTTGTGTTTACTTATTTTATGAGAGTAGTTACTTTTTATATTATCCAATTTCTTGTAAAACTTGTACAATTTATTTTACTATCTATATCAAAATTCTATACATTTTATAATAATGTAACAAATTGTACAAGTTCTACAAGAAATTGGATAATATTAAAAGTCAGAAAAAATCGAATAAAAAACCTATATTACTAATTTTAGTGTAGAGTACTACATGATATCCCCTTTTACTAGGCAACACCCATTAATTTAGTACAGCTACTACTCTCAGAGTGCGCTCTACAACGTCTACGAAATTCTCACGGAGATGTCCCTTCTTGTTTATGTATGTTCTGTGAAATAAATCCGCGTAAATCACGAAATGTAATTATTTAAACTATTCGAAATTGGGTAAAATTAATGCACAAAAACCCGCCGACGATGCCATATAATGTTTCAAAAGCGCTCCGGTTAATTCGTTTCGTCACGCGAAGTTAATTAAAAAAAAAAACCGGCCGATTAGGCGTCATTAAAATGCATTAAACACGTTGCATAATTGCATAAAACTCGAAATTCCGGCGATATGCTAAATCGAAATTAACATCGAATTATAAAGTGCATGCACAGGTGCATTGGGATCCGGTGCGGCGTTGCCGGTTGTACGCAAAAATCACCCAAAACTCCGAATTCTCAAAATTCATCCAAAATGGCCACCCCATTTTCGTACGCCATTTTCGTGTTTTAAATCAATAATAATAAATCGTAGGAGGTTGATTTTTGCTAAGAAGGATGCTTTTTTATCATCCACAATATTTTAACTTTCGAATTCAACCCACAATTTTCCCTAGATTCTACAAAAAACGTAGAAATCTCACAACATCGCTTACAACAACAACAACACACATCATCTCCCGTCCCGCCGCCTCGTCTCCATCTCTCTCACTCGCCGCGCGCCAGTAAAAGACATCCGATCAGTACCGCCTAGTACTCGCTCTTGAGGTCTTCACCAACGCGGCCAAACGGCCAGCCAACCAGCCAACCTGATGTCGAGTCTAGCTAGCAGGAAAAGTGCTAAAGTTTCAGTTCGATTTCGGCCGGTACTGAGGTCGGTACTACCACATCCGATGCGTCCGGTAATCGCGTCGTCAGCGACGGTGCTACAAGGGGGGCCGATAGCCCATCGAGAAGTACCGCAAACGTGTAAATAGATAAACATGACAGTGACGTACGGGGGTCGGGTACCCAACGGCAGTACCTTCGGGTGTTTTTGGAAAGTGCTCGGCATGTAAGTGGCCATTTTGTGGTGTGTTTTTTGTTTTTTTTAGCAGATATATTGTAGATTGCGCGATATATCGGACACACCCTGTATATATATACACGAATATTCGTTGAATATTCAGATATCGCAGAGGCCTTGATCGATTTTAATGCGATTTTACTTTCCTTCTCGCATGCATACGACGTTTCGACAGAGAAGTAAACGTGACAAATGGAAAGCTCGAATTCTATTTTTTGTTGTTCGTTACCCGCATAAATTCCACGTCAAGGTCTGACGTTTGACGTTTGACGCGCGCCTGTCATCGTCGGCTTTCTTTTCGTCACGTGCGGAATTTGCATCAGGGAGTGCCGTGATTCGAAATTCCTCGACGATTCGAACGAAATGGGAACGGCGAAATTACAACGACAATGACGTTTAAAACGTCAACTGTCACCGGAGGGATTCTTGTTCATTGCTGCGACTAAACGAACCCCCTAAGTTCTTCTTCTTTTTTCCTCTAACGGCCTCTTTCGCTGCGATTAATCGGCGAACGATAATTTTTCAGAGCGAAATGGCTAGATAACGAGCGATGGTAATTTTTTTTAAGCAATTATGTGGCGAAATTAAAGCTGGTAAGAGACCACCTGTTAAATACGCGGATCGCATGCATTAATATTCCGAGAACGAAATTATGTCTAACTAATCGAACTAGCCGTGTCTGAAATGTCCGATTACCGTTTCGTAGAATCGATTATTATCATTCCGATCGAAATCGATTGGAGGATTTGGGGAAATCGGAGCTTTCGATGTTAATTCAGTTACTAGGAATAAGTTGGCTGTATTGGAAAATTGTTTGTTTATATTCAGTTTCTTCTCTTATTTTTGCACATTGTGCCAGGCTTGCCAAAAGACTTTTTGTTTTTTGCCAACTGTATAAAAAAAACTACAATTCAATTTTTTCTCTCAACATAATTCCATGATACAAGGTCGCTCGAGGTCCGATCGATAGATGATAACAGAAATTAAAAATTTAATTGTATACGAACTTTATCATTAAGTCTACACGGTTGAGGAATTTTATTTACCTATATTAAAATGTATATATTAAATGAATAATATTAAATTAGTTAGTAATTCGATAGATTCGCAGAAATCTAAAGTTTCGTACAATCGATTTTCACCCTGCATTTCTATGAGTTGAACAAAGAAAGATTATTAAAATGACAGCTGTCAGAGTGAAAAGTTGCAATGACAGAAACGTCACTATTTCTTTTTCCTTCATAAGTGTCTAATTGTAGTTGTCTTTGTTGCACCCATAGAATATGTCGCAATGAAAAATGGAGCAATCTGTAAATATATCGATATTAAATCGACTCGAATTTAGGTTAATTCTGGTTCGTTTTATTTATTTTTCGATTTGAAAAAGGAAATTTGCCAACGCGTTTAGCGTTACGTAAAGAATATAAATCGATACATTACGGTGTGTGTTTTTTTTTCTTCGTGTATTCTGCACAGCGCAAATTATTCAAATCGTCGATTAAATTTCAATAAAACCAATTAAAAACCGCGACGCGTGTAGTATTGCGCGCATCTTAAAGTCCCCCCCGCGTTTTTAAAATGCACAATGCGCCATTAAAAACGGGCAATAAGCGCGAATATTAGATTAGAAATTTAGCAAAATTGAATTTTAAAACCTTATCTAGAACGTGCTTTTGCAATGAACATTAAAATTAACCGAAATAAATCACAGCAACCTATTTAATTGTCAATTTCCAACCATTGACATTGACGTGTGACATTAGCAAATGCAATAAATTTCGATAAAAGTACCTGTTTTTTTTTCTAATTCTAATAATTAAATAATATCGATAGATTCGTGAATCAATAAAAAAAATGTGGCTATGCCCGGTATGTGTTAATTGTAAATAGCAATTGAATGTTTCACGATTGCGATTCGCGAAAAACAACACGATTACTAGCCTGAGAAATCGTTGCATGAGTTTGTGTCACCTGTCACCTGTCAGATTTCACGGATGCCAACGTGAAAACGTGTTAACGGGTTTTTTTTTCGCAGGGCATTCAACCTAATTTATAATTCTCGAAAAAAAAAAACTGTAGTAGTTTCGCGTGACAGTGTTAAATAATAATTTTCTATTTATTCAACAATAAAAAAATATATTCGGTACATTTTTTTGTTGATATAACTGTTTTGGATTTTGCAATTTGTCGAAAAACTGTTAATGACAGGGTCAGATTGTATACAGGACGATTTAATTTAATTATTAGGTAATTAAAAGATATTTTTTACGACTAAAATTAATTAATTGATTAATTTAAACGAAGGACGCCTTTATGTGTTGTAAAATTTCATTTCGAATTTAAATAAACTGCGTATTTAAATTATTATCTAATAATTATTTACTTAGATTTTCCGATTATTCAATTACACATTCTTAAAAATGTATTTCTTTGAAATTACTTATAAGGTAACGTTTATTTTAACTACTGCCAGTTTTGATGAAGCACTTTTATATTTTCCTGCGGCAACATTTTTTGTTTTGTCCATACAATTAATTTTTTTGTCTGGTAAAATCCCAATTGCACCGGAATCGTCGAAGATAATCCAGTTTTTCGACCTCATTATGTATACAGAAATTCGATCGAAATAATAACAAACAATACCAAAACGGTTACATGCCATTTTCAGATCAAGGTTACCAGCGTTACATGTATCGATTTTATTCGATAATTTTATAAATTAATTATACAGGAAAAAAAATTAGTGTATGGTCACCTTTATTACTGTCGAGGGAAAGTATTTGTTGCACTGTAGAGGGTTTAAAAATGCGTTTTTCGAGTGCAATAAATCCGTTCTGGCGAAATAAAGCTGGCCATGCACGAGATTTATGTCTTTAATTCAATCGGTTATTTCCAGATGGCGCGGGAGTGTATACAAACTAGTATGGAGGGAACTTTTAGCCTATTTATTCTTCTACTACCTGATAAATTTCATCTACAGATTCGGATTGACGGATCCTCAACAAAGGTAACTAACTACAGCCGCCATTTTTGTGAAAAAAAATATCGAATTTCGCGTGGATTTTCGCAGGATTTTCGAGATGATCCGGAGGTACTTCAGCCAAATGAGCGAAACAGTACCGATGTCCTTCGTATTAGGTTTCTATGTGACTTTAGTGGTAAATAGGTGGTGGGACCAGTACAAGTTACTCCCTTGGCCTGACACTCTTGCCCTTTTCCTCAACGCCGGCATTCCGGGCGCGGTAAGTACGTATTTTTTTATCGAAAATTCTAACCTCTAAACGTCACCTGTCAAACGTCAATATACGTCAAATGTCAGCAAACTTCCTAACCTCTAAACGTCACCTGTCGAACGTCAATACGATTATATGCACGCGAGAATCGTTTGTTTGCTGTTGCACATTTAAAAAAAATAAAACAATAATTAATAAAGTAAGTTGTAAAAAAAAACCTCCATTGTTTCGCTGACGAATTTAATTAGCACGTGGAACGATAAGTTAAATGCGTTCGCAAGCGAAACCTTGATGGGTTTTTTTGTTTTAATTAACAAATAAAATTGTATTAACTTTTTTTCGTTCCATTAGAAATTATTGACGTTTGACGTTTCTTAGGTCCTTATCGTTTCGGTTGTTCGGTTATACAATGTTGTAAGTTGATTGGAAAATATTTCTTTTGGGTTGCAGAATGAAAGACAAAGACTGATGAGAAGAAATATAGTAAGATACGCCGTTTTGGCATACGTTATAACATTACAAAGGATTTCCCTGAGGGTGAAGAAACGGTTCCCGACTTGGCAACATGTCGTAGATTCAGGTAACTTATACGAGGTTAGGTCGATAATTCACGCGATAATTACGCCCTGTATAATACGTAGGAAAGATTTAATGAATTTCCAACGTTTAAAACAATGCTCGCTTCGATTAAAAGCCAATCGTTATGGAAATTAAATGGGAAAATAACAGCAATTTTATAATTATAAATCGGCATAATCGCCGATCAAACAGGATGCACTCGTTCGAAACGTAGAATACATCTATTTCCGTTCGAACCTTACTAATTATTTCTCAATTGATGGCTATTTTACATTTATACACTACTGAAAAAAAAAATCTATTTTAATCGGACACACTGTATCTGCTTTTATTAGAAATTTATATTACTTTTTCTACTGCAAGAATTCTTTAATAGAACTTTACATTACTTTTTCTACTGCAAGAATTCTTCATTAGAACTTTACATTACTTTTTCTACTGCAAGAATTCTTCATTAGAACTTTACATTACTTGTTCTACTGCAAGAATTCTTTAATAGAACTTTACATTACTTGTTCTACTGCAAGAATTCTTTAATAGAACTTTACATTACTTTTTCTACTGCAAGAATTCTTTAATAGAACTTTACATTACTTGTTCTACTGCAAGACTTCTTCATTAAAAGTTTACATTACTTGTTCTACTGCAAGAATTCATCATTAGAACTTTACATTACTTCTCCTACTGCACTTTTGCTACTTTTACTACTGCAAGTGCTCCTCACTAGAACCTTTTACATTACTTTTTCTACTGCAAGTACTCCTCATTAGAACCTTTTACATTACTTTTACTACTGCAAGTGCTCCTCACCAGAACCTTTTACATTACTTTTTCTACTGCAAATACTCCTCACCAGAACCTTTTACATTACTTTTTCCACTGCAAGTACCTTCTGTACACCTGCTACATTATTTGATGATAGGTTTGATGATGGAAAGCGAAAAGAAGATCTTCGAATTGATGGACCAAAGGACGCCGATGTCCAAATACTGGATGCCCTTGGTGTGGGCGACGAACATCATCAACAGAGCTCGCAAGGAATCGATCATCACCAGCGATCACATCGTGCAAACTCTTTTGCAGGAATTATCGGACATCAGGAGGCGATTGGGCGCCTTGATCGGCTACGATACCGTCAACGTGCCATTGGTTTATTCGCAGGTAAGCCCTTGCGTGACGTCACAAAAGGTCTAATTTTGAATAGACTATATGCATATAGTTGTAAGTTTTGTGGGTATAGTGCGTTCGATTTGAGCTAGCTTTGACGTCAGGGAGGCCTAATTTTGAACAGACTATATGAGTAAAAGTTGCTTTCTGTGGGTATATTGTATTCGATTTAACTTAGCTGTGACGTCAGGAATAGGAACGCCTATTTTTGAACAGACTATATGATTAAAAGTTGCATTTTGTGGGTATAGTGCGTTCGATTTGAGCTAGCTGTGACGTCAGGAAAGCCTAATTTTGAACAGACTTTATGATTAAAAGTTGCTTTTTGTTGGTATAGTGCGTTCGATTTAACCTAGCTGTGACGTCTTCAATTTTTAAATCCTCTCGGGTTTTCAGTGAATATTTTTTTTTTGCATATTTTTGCTCGCTATATTTCGAAGTATTTTCCGATAATTTCCACTCGACTAATCGTGAGTCACGGAATTGTGTGTGTGTGTTTGTGGTATTGTTCGATAAGAGAGGTTTTCAGTTAACAATAATTTTTTTTAATGTTTGTTTTTTATCGTTAAAAGGAGAGTCGAAGACGCACGACGGTTATTTTTTAACGGTTCGAGTGAATCACCGAAGTGGTCGATAAAAATCGATATCGAGACGGCCTTGATTTCGTTCGGTTTTTAATTCCATTACCGGTTTATTTTTTTGTCGGGCGGTGGAAAAATAATTGTACTGAGTGTACGCTATTAATCCAGAGGGGTATTTTTTTGTATGTACGAAAAATAGGAATAATGGCGCTTATGAATGAATTATGAATTTTGTTTCAGGTGGTCTCGTTAGCCTTGTATGTTTACTTCATATCTGCTTTATTCGGAAGGCAATTCGTTAAAGATGTGGACAAATTGAACAGCAAATACGATAACATAGACGTGTATTTCCCGTTTTTTACGACCGTACAGGTAAGTAAACTTTTCAGTTTGTGCAGTGATAATGCAACCCTAAAACAAACACCTTTCGCTCTACTTTTATACGAATACTTACTAAATTTTTTTTTTATTTTCGGTGTAACTCTATAAATACTGTTCGTAGAAACGTGCGGTTTGTTTTGTACGATGTAGAAAAATGTTCTACACGTGGTGGAAAAAATTGAAAAATATCGCCCCAAGATTTTTCGAAAAATCTCAAAAAAACCTCAAAAAAACTCGTTTTCCCCCAATTTCACCCCGAAGATGATCGTTCCGAAATTCGAAACGTCGATTTTCGCATTCAGCGCACTCTTTTACATTAGATTCACCACTTTCGCCCATCGAAAACCGTTTATTATCACTTCAATATCATTATTAAACACTATTTAGCTTTTTGTCTAACTTACATTTTTTTTATTTTCGGTATAACTCGATAACTACTGTTCTTAGAAACGTGCGGTTTGTTTTGTACGATGTAGAAACATATTCTACACGTGTTGGAAAAAATTGAAAAAAATCGCCCGAAGACTTTTCGAAAAATCTCAAAAAAACCTCAAAAAACCTCGTTTTCCCCCAATTTCACCCCGAAGATGAACCTTCCGAAATTCGAAACGTCGATTTTCGCATTCAGCGTACTCTTTTACATTAGATTCACCACTTTCGCCTATCGAAAACCGTTTATTATCACTTCAATATCATTATTAAACATTATTTATCTTTTTGTCTCACTTATATTTTTTTTATTTTCGGAATAACTCGATAACTACTGTTCTTAGAAACATGCGGTTTGTTTCGTACGATGTAGAAACATATTCTACATGTGCTGGAAAAAATTGAAAAAAATCGCCCGAAGACTTTTCGAAAAATCTAAAAAAAACCTCAAAAAAACTCGTTTTCCCCCAATTTCACCCCGAAGATGATCGTTCCGAAATTCGAAACATCGATTTTTGCATTCAGCGCACTCTTTTACATTAGATCCACCACTTTCTCCAATCGAAAAACGTTTATTATCACATCAATATCATTATTAAACATTATTTATCTTTTTGTCTCACTTATATTTTTTTTATTTTCGGTATAACTTGATAGCTACTGTTCTTAGAAACATGCGGTTTGTTTCGTACGATGTAGAAACATATTCTACACGTGTTGGAAAAAATTGAAAAAAATCGCTCGAAGACTTTTCGAAAAATCTCAAAAAAACCTCAAAAAAACCTCGTTTTCCCCCAATTTCACCCCGAAGATTTCACCTTCCCAAACTCGAAACATCGATGTTCATCCAACGCACTCTTTTACATCAAATCCACCACTTCCCCCCCATTACAAAACCCCTTCATCACCACATCAAACCAAACCCTCTTCCCCCTACTTTCATCATCCTCAACATTCACAGTTCTGCTTCTACGTGGGATGGCTAAAAGTCGCCGAGGTCCTCATCAACCCCTTCGGCGAAGACGACGACGACATCGAACTCAACTGGCTCATCGACAGACACATCAAGGTAAGCCCAGCGAACATCCCACGACCGATATTATCAACGGTTTAACCGTCACAAAGCGACACAACGATGAAAGTAAGAGGAGAGATGATTGACCTCTCATCGCTTATCCGCGACTCCATTCCCCAACTGTCTAAACCTATTTAGAACGTTTTAAATTCATTTAGAATGCCCCAGAATCATTTACAATATTTCACAATGATTATAGAACTGTTTAAAATTATTAAGAACACTTCAGAATACTTTAGAACTGTCTAAAACCATTAAGACCTATTTAGAACTATTTGGAATGCTCCAAAATCATTTACAATATTTCACAATGATTTAGAACTGTTTAAAATTATTTAGAACTCTTCAGAATTCTTTAGAACTGTCTAAAACCATTAGGACCTATTTAGAACTATTTGGAATGCTCCAAAATTATTTACAATATTTCACAATGATTTAGAACTGTTTAAAATTATTTAGAACACTTCAGAATTCTTTAGAACCGTCTAAACCCATTTAGAACGTTTTAAATTTATTTGAAATGCTCCAGAATCATTAACAATGTTTTAGAATCATTTAGAACTGTTTAAAATTATTTAGAACACTACAGAATTCTTTAGAATTGTGTAAATCCATGTTTTAAATTCATTTAGAATGCTCCAGAATCATTAACAATATTTCAGAATCATTTAGAACTGTTTAAAATTATTTGGAACACTTCAGAATTCATTAGAACTGTCTAAACCCATGTTTTAAATACATTTGGAATGCTCCAGAATCATTAACAATGTTTTAGAATCATTTAGAACTGTTTAAAATTATTTAGAACACTTCAGAATTCTTTAGAACCGTCTAAACCCATGTTTTAAATTCATTTGGAATGCTCCAGAATCATTTAGAACTGTCTAAAACCACTTAGAACGTTTCAGAATCATTTAGAACGCTCCAGAATTATTTTGAACTGGCTAGGAAGTAATTAGAATGCTCCAGAATCATTCAGAACTATCGAGAACCATTCAAAATGCTCTAGAATTATTTAGAACCGGCTAGGAAGTAATTAGAATGCTCCAGAATCATTTAGAACTATCGAGAACCATTCAAAATGCTCTAGAATTATTTAGAACTGGCTAGGAAGTAATTAGAATGCTCCAGAATCATTTAGAACTATCGAGAACCATTCAAAATGCTCTAGAACTATTTAGAACACTACAGAATTCATTAGAACCGTCTAAACCCATTTAGACTCCCCCCCCCCGAGGCCACTAACATTGTTCAATTTAGTACAATAACCACGGGTTCCGTTCGCAGGCCTCCTACATGATAGTGGACGAGATGCACGAGGAGCACCCGGAGCTGTTGAAGGACCAATATTGGGAGGACATCGTGCCGCGCGAGCTGCCCTACACGGTGGCCTCGGAGCACTATCGAAGAGAGGAACCCAAAGGTTCCGCCGAAACCTACAAGATCAAAGCGCAGGACGCCGTCTACGCGAACCTCATCACCCCCAAGAAGTCGCTTTTGCCGGAAGATTACGCCGATTACGTGAGGCTATTTTTTCACATTGTTTTCTTCTATATTTAGAGTGTTGTTGTTTTGAAGGAGAGCGTTGATACTCCCATAGCGGAGAGGAGGAAGAACTCCAACTGGTTCACCAGGCAGATTTCGCGCACTGGAATGGGTTCTATTAGATCATCGTCCACAGCTTATTCATCTGGTGGTATATTCGGAAGACATCGTGGCTTCTCCATCGATGCTAACGTAGAAAACGGGCAACTACCGGGTTTACCTACGCAGAAGATGTCCATCTACGATCGACTGGTGGGCAGGAAATCCGGAAGAACCAGAAACTACAAACCGAGTACGTTGAACTATATACCAAACAAACCAATCGAATTGTTCAATACATTTTACGCCCAGAAACCGCCGCGGTGCAAGTGAAGAACCGTCCGAGAATCCCCACGCCGGACATCACCAAAGAAGTGGTGGACAGAGAGCAAAAACTCCAACAGAACATCACCAACAACCTCCACCACAACCAACTCTCCAACGCTCTGACTCTAACCTCACACCAACTCCCCGCCAGGTACATGTCCTACCCGAACGTAGACGGACCAGTGGTACAGGTACTATCAATCGCCCAGTAAAGAGCTTCTGAAGCAAACACCTCTTCCCGCAGGTGGTACTATCGCCGATACAAGAACTGGACGGGCAAGGATCGGTCAACAGCACTCTACATCCCAACCAACCGGGCACCGCCGCCTTGGCGCAGGCGGTACTCTCCCCTGGTCTCGGTCCGGTACTAACCACGCCCGTTAGCGTACCGATGACCGTCTCCCAGTTGACCTCGCTCGGCCTCGCCTCCAACACCAACAGCCCCCTGCTCGCCAGGACCTTCGAACGGACCTCCTTCAAGAGCCCCGAATTCATACAGGTACTCGCCTACGACCTTCTTACCGCTACTGGTCTTTTACTATACGGGTTACCCCGCTACTGGTCTCTTACTATACGGGTTACCCCGCTACTGGTCTTTTACTATACGGTTTTTTTGTTTGTTGAAGCAGGCTTTCGAGCTGCCGGCGCAGCCGCTGACGCTGACGGAGGTGCATTCGGAGGAGGAGGGGAGGAGCGAGAACGATTCGCCGGCGTCGGGGGCGTCGCGGGCGTCCGTGGCGACGGCGTCGGTGGCGTCGGAGGGGGAGGAGGCGTCCCAGGGGCACGGGAAGTCGGGTAGTTGTTTGTCGAGCGCTTCGGCGCCGAATTCGCTGGTTTCCTTGGGGGCTAGCAAAGAGGGTAAGGTGAGGAGGATCTCGACGGTGTCGCAGGAGGCCAAGAAACGGGAGGTGTACGTTTGATGGGGTTGGGGGCGGCCATGTTGGATGTGATAATGTGATAGAAACGGTAGATTTGTTGTTTTTTTATCATCTAAGTGCTTGTAGGTTAGTAGTGGAGATGTTGTATCGATTAATCGATTGTGTGTCGAGTGTTTTCGTATGGTCTTTCCGAAAAATCGAAATGTGTTTGTGCTTTTGGTTGTCCTCTGGTTTAATGGGGACGATTATTTTAGAGGGAAATGATGTTGGAAAGACTATACTTTGAACAAATTATGATTTATGTTTGTAATTGCAAGTTGTCCGGATGGCGAAGTGTCGGGGAAAATTTGCGATGCGATTTTAATATGTAAATAGCAACAAAAAGGGAATAAATTTATGGTTATTATTAATTTTTGTGGTTTTATTTAGCAATTTTATCCTGTAGATAGTTATCTTGAAGATAAAATAACTCTTATCTAACATTTGAACTTACAAAAGATACCTCTAGAAACACTAATAATAAATAGTAAAAGAAAATATAAACGAACCAATAATAATGCAAAATTGTATTCAAAAAATCATTGCTATGCAAAATGCATAAGATTCTTCCTCTTTCCTTTAACTCTGTCCTCAACTGCCAAGACTATCCAGCCCTAATACCGCAATTTTGTCATTTAAGAGGAATTTGTAAAAGCGCATATAAAATTTAATCTTAAAGCTAACTCACTTATGTAAATATATGAATAAAATCCATCATTTGAACATAATAACGCAAAATATATTTAAAAAATCATCACTATAATACAAAATTGTATACAAATGTCATCTACTTTTTCCTTTCCTTAAACACTGGCCTGAACTACCGCGACTATCCAGCCAGAATTCCGCCATTTTGTCATTTAAGAGGGATTTGTAAAAGCGCACATAAATAAAATCCATCATTTGAACATAATAACGCAAAATATATTTAAAAAATCATCACTATAATACAAAATTGTATACAAATGTCATCTACTTTTTCCTTTTCTTACACACTGGCCTGAACTACCGCGACTATCCAGCCCTTATTCCGCCATTTTGTCGTCTACAAAACGGGCGTCAAATATGGCGATGCCACATATGGTGATGCCACATATGGTGATGCCAAATATGGCGCCGCCACTGCATAACCCGCCAAGGCGGGGGCGGCTACTTGGGGTGAAATCAATCGAGCTACTGGTAGATTGTACTGGCGGGCTATCACTTGAGAACTTTGGGCGGTAATTACCGCCGGTGCTACCGCCAAAGGGGCGGCTGCGATTATACCGGACGGTTTGGCGTCGGGCAGGGCGTAGGTGGCGCTGGTGGCGGCGAGTAGAACGATTACCTGTCGATTATAAATTTGTTAAATGATTAATGTTTGGGTTAATTGGTGGGTGTACTTACGAAGAACAACATTTTTGTTGGATGGATTGGTGAGTGTTTGATGTGGGAATGGTGGAGAATCGATTTTTTATACGATTATGGAGGGTCCCTCCAATCGATTTGAGGTCGATTTTGTAAGTTCGGATTGTTATTATGCGAAGAAGCGTTTTCGGTTAACAAACGATCTATTTGTAATTGCTAATTGTAATTGCATAACTCATGTTAGTGCAATTACGTTAAATGTTGGACGTAAAGTCGTAAATAATAATCGATAACTCGGTATTTCAAAAAAATTTCGGAGCTGTCAGCTGTCATTGGCTGTTTGACAGTTTTGACTGTCCTTCAATAAAAAAGTTATACATCGACAAAATAAAAGACAAATCTTTCTTTTTCTATGGTGTTATAAAAGTTTTAAAGTTTTAAATTTATCTCGAATCTATAAAATAATGCATTAGTCCTCATAATTATGCTTGATTATACACCTTGCTCTATTTCCCATTGCAATATGGTCATTTCAATGAGTGGAACAAAGAAAGATTGATAAAATGGCAGTTGTCAGAGTGAAAAGTGTATAATGTAAGTTATCTTTATCGCACTTCTAGTCTATATAACCTATATTGCGATCAAAAATGGAGCAACCTGTATATAATTAATTATAAATATTTCAGTAATAAAAGTCGATATTCGAAATAAAATTCCTAACTGTCAGCTGTCATTTGTATTTTTGACAGTTTTTGGTTATAGCTACTCGACCGTCCAAAATATTGCATTTTCTCATAAAAGAAGACTCACAAATATTTCAAATTTATCTCTATTTTATACAATAAATTATACTTTTAGTAATTATGCACATATTTTACCAATAAACGATTATTCTATTAGTATACCATTGGGAATTAATTTGTAGGTTAACGCGTCGTTCGCAGCCTACTTGTTACATAAAATATATTATCCAACGATCGAATTTTGATTTGATATTCCAAATGCGGAAATCACCTTGATAGTGAAACGTTTATCACGTATCACCCGAAAGAAATCGACTCAATTTCGCCATTTTTAACAATTAGAAATCGCCCGGGGGGTCGTATAAATAATCAATCCTCCAAACCAAACCAACTCATTCATCAGTATCAAATCAATCAACAACAACAAACCACAATGAAACTTCAAATCGTAAGTACAACTCGATCACTTGCAGCCGACGTGTTTAAAAACCTCTTCCACTTGCAGGTACTCGCGATGTTCGCCTGTTTCTCCGCTTCGATCGAAGCCAGCGTGATACCAGCACCTCCAGCTCTAAGGTATACTCTAATAGCACCTCAAAATGTAAGACCTTTCGCCGCCCAAGTGAGCACCTTCACCAGAGGATTGAACGTCCTGGAGGCTCCCCTGGCGGCCGGCGTGTTAAACCCGCCCGCCATCTTTTCCAGAACCCTTCCAGCGGCTCCTTTGATCGAAGCGCCCTCTTTACATCCCCGCGGAGTCGCCGTTGGACCTTTCGCGAGTCCTCTAGGAGGTCTCGAGTATGTTTATTGAGGATATGTTTTAGGTGTGTTTGTTCAATAAAATGGTTTTTTTTTATAGTACATTCGTTTATTTGGTAATAAATAATAATTTAGAGTACCTAATGTTGCTCATCTCGTGTATAAAGCGCTTGCAATGAATCTTCTTCCATGGGATTCTTCAATGGTCCAAGTGCAAACCTGGAAGTAATAGAATTGAATGGAAGAACTGAAATAACTCGTTTTTTACACTCGATTTTTACATTTATACCACTTTCAACAAATCCTCCCGACCCAAATCTGCTATCCTCAAAGATTCGTAACCACCTTCAAGCTCCAGACGCTCCAAAAGGTCCACCTTCAAGCTCCAGACGCTCCAGAAGGTCCACCTTCAAGCTCCAGACGCTCCAGAAGGTCCACCTTCAAGCTCCAGACGCTCCAGAAGGTCCACCTTCAAGCTACAGACGCTCCAGAAGGTCCACCTTCAAGCTCCAGACGCTCCAAAAAGTCCATCTTCAAGCTCCAGACGCTCCAGAAGGTCCACCTTCATCTCCAGACGCTCCAGAAGGTCCATTTTCAAGCTACAGACGCTCCAGAAGGTCCACCTTCAAGCTCCAGACGCTCCAAAAAGTCCACCTTCAAGCTCCAGACGCTCCAGAAGGTCCACCTTCATCTCCAGGCGCTCCAGAAGGTCCATTTTCAAGCTACAGACGCTCCAGAACGTCCATTTTCAAGCTACAGTCGCTCCAGAAGGTCCACCTTCAAGCTACAGACGCTCCAGAAGGCCCACCTTCAAGCTACAGACACTCCAGAAGGTCAACCTTCATCTCCAGACGCTCTAGAACGTCCACCTTCAAGCTCCAGACGCTCCAGAAGGTTTACCTTCATCTCCAGACGCTCCAGAACGTCCACCTTCGAGCTCCAGACGCTCCAAAAAGTCCACCAAGTAGCTTCACCAAACCGAATCTTCCACAACTCCACAACTACATCCCAACAATCTTCCTCGATGAACCTCATCAAGCACTCGAATTCAATCACCCAGCGATCTTCGACGACTCCCCAGCACCTCCGAGAGTCTTTCCAACTTACCCAAGGGCAGTCCGTAGGAGACGGGAGCGGCGACTTTGGCGATCACGGGGGCGGCCACCTTGGTGACGACGGCGGTCGGATGCAGGGCGATGAGGTTGCTGTTCTGGTAGGAAGAGGCGCCGTGGGCGACGGCCACGGGGGCGTGGGCGGCGACCAGGGGGGCGTGGGCGACGGCGAGGGGGGCGTGGGCGACCAGGGGGGCCCCCAGGAGGCCGTGGTCGTCGTATCCTAGGTCGATGACGCCGGCTCGGGCGGTGGTTAGGATGGTTACTAGGATGCACTGTGGTAAAAAAGTGGTGAATTTGGGGGTGTTTGAATTGTGTGGAAGTGGACTTACCAGTTTGAACATGTTGGTTTGTTTGGAGCGGTTTGGTTGCGAAGAATGTCGAAGAGAAGGCGGCTGGTGAGAATTTATAGTAAAAGGGATTTGTCGCCCCCACCGGAGGTGTGTGATTTAGTTGAATCTAGATCGCCGTGGAGGACTTTGAGAGGGGTTTTCGAATAGCGCTGGTTTTTTTTTTGTTTTGTTTCTTTTATTGTTGTTGGTATTAGAATCGCATTGGCGTGGAGTGGGATATTTTTTATGATAATTTACTGGCTCGATTTGATTATGAAATTGTTATAAAAAAAAAGCATTTGTCGGCCGAGATTTTTTCCAAATCGAGCAAAATCGACTTGACCCCTTTTATATTCAATTTTTTTCCTTATTCCACTTGTTGGCAACAACTCGATTGTTAGCGTATTAATTATTTACAAACAGGTTTGTAACACAACAATTTATTCCAACCGTTTTCTAATCGAACCATCATACCAACTGTCATTCAACAAGATTACAACTTTACCCAAAAAAAACAACCAAATTGAAACGTTACTCAAATTTATTGACTTTTCAAAAATTTATTACACACAATAAATAAACGATTTCTCATCTTCGTCAAATTACAAACAAACACAAACCGCATTTAAATCAATGATGCAATCCAATATGCACCGGATGGTGTACCACAGTGGCGTGCGAAACGGCCGGCGCATGGGCTATAACAGGCGCATGGGCTATAACCGGCGCATGGGCTATAACAGGCACATGATGGGCTATAACGGGAGTGTGTACTGCTACCGCCTTGTGGGCCACCAACGGCACCGGATGGACCGAAATCGAGTGGCTGTTTTGGTGCGATGTTGCACCGTGAGATACCGCCACTATCGCCGGTTTGTGCTCTAAAATCAAGCCGGCGTTGGCCGTGTAGATTACACTAACTAGTACCAACTGAAAGATAACGAAAGTTACTAAATAGACGTGTAGTTACTAACGGTAGAAAAAGTATTGTATAGGAGTAGCGTTATAGAGGTACAATTTTTTTAATAATTAAATAGATACTTACGAATTTGAACATTTTTTTTTTTCGGCGGATTAACTCGTTGAAAATAGGGCAGTTATTCGATTGATAAATCCGATGTACGAGTGGTTTGTATTTATACATTGTTTCCCCACTGTTGTGGGGACAATTTTCTGGGACACGTCCTTCCTTTTATCTCTCATTTTTCTTTTATTTCGCTTCGATTCGTTTTCCTTTTGGTTTATGAGCATTCATAATATCGAAAGCGTAACGTGTCATTATAATATTTTCTGAAAGAACTTTTCGTACGAAACCCGTATGTGCGAATTCATTCCGATCATAACCCATGGGCTCGATATATTAATCATCCACCATGTACATCCATTAACTAGCACACCCTGTATATTGCATTACGGTTAAATACTACAAACGTCATTTGAACTGGCAAATGTCAACTTCAAACGTCAATTTATAACAATTTTAAGCGTATGTTGGGAATTTGCGGTGCATTTTAATTAAGCTCATGTACTAATAAATGTTATTGTTGCAAGATCAAAAGATCGATTGTGAACTTGTTTTGAGATTACGAAAATTAATGGCAGGTTTAAAATTAAATCGGTCGTTTAATTTGCATATTATGAAAATAATAATACGACGTAAATTGATTACCTAGCTGTTAAAATTGCAATTACAAACAGCCTACTAGAATCGTTGTGAATACATGACAGCTCAATGACAGATGACGTTTTGTACATCAATAAGGGAAAAAACGAATATTAGCTGGTTTAAACTCGGTGTATTACGTAATTATTTGTGTTTATTTAACTTTCTACAACGTGAAATATAGGGACAAATGTACTTTGCGAGTTTTATGTAACCACCGTGTAACGCTCCGATGAATTGGCGGTTAAAAATCGCACAGTGCCTGGAAATTTCACTACGAAAATGGTTTACTCAAAATGGCCGACTCGTGAACAATGGCCGAACATGTTGACAGTTGACAGACTTTTTTTGAATCGCTGTGTATCAAGAGATTTATTTCTTTTGATCTTGGAGCCGTTTTAATGAGAAAAATCTGTAGCAAGGACGGTTATTGAATTAAGAACGGTGATTTAATTGTGTTTGTATTCGATTTTCGCTCTTGTTAGAGCAGGTTTCAATTGGGTCAAAGTTACAAGTGCATTGTTAATAAAATTTCTTTTATAATTGGCTGGATTTACGATAGGAACAAGTCGACGTAAATAATACGCCAAAAGTGACTAAAGTTAACTTTTATCGTAATTACGATAACGTGTAGATAATTAATTGATTAAATTGTTTGTTTTTATTTTTTTTTATCGAAAGAGTAGGTATTTTCGTACAAATTACGCGAGTGATAATCGAAATATTATTCAAATTAAAAATGACTTGCGAGTTTTTTTTTTTTTAGGAGATTTAATTTAAGGAGGTGTTTTTTTTGTGGAAATTCCCCCGTTCGATCGACCGAAACGCAACTAGGAAAACCGGCATCCATTGAACTAAATATTTCGAGTTTAATACTAGAATAAGTTGCGAAAACATTTTTGCATTGCATGTGCACTTGTTCCACTTTCACCAAGTGCACCGGATGACCGCCAACAACGCCACACTTACGCCCATTTTCCATCCCCGCATAATTCCACCAAACGCCAAAAATAACCCTACGAAATTCCCCCAAACACCAACAACATCCCTCTGCAATTCCCCCAAACACCAATAAAAACCCTCTGCAATTCCCCCAAACACCAAGAATATCCCTCTGCAATTCCCCCAAACATCAAGAACATCCATCTGCAATTCCCCCAAACACCAAGAACATCCATCTCCCCTAAAACGGCTAAATATCGCCATTTAATTCCCCCAAATCCCATACGAAAAACCAAAATATACATTGATGAACAAGTATGAACAACCAAGAACAATGGCCTTCAATCAAATAGGGCATTAAATTTTATCAATTCTCTCGACCTAACCTAATCTAATCTAATAAATTTAACAACCAAAGAACCTTGAAATAAATTTCGGCTCATCGTCCACTTTCTTTTCTCCGCGCACGGAACAAAATATCAGTCTGTTTCGTTCTCCAAACGATAACGAACGTTCATTATAAATATCAAAATTTCCAATAATCCCACCAGTGTGTCCGTGACCTTCTAACGTACACAGCAACAATATGGCGAACGCAGGTAAATAAAATTATTTAATAACCGCCGCGTAATAGCCGATAACAATGATTTTCTGGATATCCAAAAGAGCCTGGATACGCCACACCCCTGGACGCGATGAAACACGGCCCAAGGGAGAAGATCCTCTACGTGGTTTGCATCAATCCGAACGAAGGCGACGATAAATCCGATCTTCTGGCTACCGTCGACGTCGATCCAGAGTCGCCCACCTATTGCCAGGTACCTTCGATCATCGCTCGAACGATTATCCAGAGTAATAGGTTGTTTATTAGATCATACATCGTTTGAGAACAGGGAACAAGAACGATGAGCTCCACCATTCGGGTTGGAACGTCTGCTCGAGCTGTCATTCGTCCACAGGTTGCAAGAACGCACCGGCTCGGGATAAACTTATTCTTCCGGCTTTGGGATCGAATAGGATCTACGTGGTGGAGGTGGGGAAGAATCCCAGAGCGCCGGAATTCCACAAGGTACAAGTCCACTCAATCCAATAATGCATTAATTGTATGGTTGTTTAGGTCATAGAAGGTTCGCAGATGGTGAATTTCGATTGCAGTACGCCCCATACGACCCATTGCTTGTCCACCGGGGACATAATGATATCCGTTTTGGGCGATAAGGATGAAAACGGCAAGTGCGATTTCGTGTTGGTCGATGGGAAAACGTTCAAAATCAAAGGTGAGCAGTTACCGATACTCTTCCTCCACTCATCTTATACATTTTTCGGATATAAAAGGTACCTGGATCAAGGGCAAGGACGCGCCAAAGTTCAACTACGATTTCTGGTACCAGCCCTACCATGATGTAATGATTTCGACCGAATGGGCCGTGCCCAAGGTGTTCAAAAAGGGGTTCCATCCCTCACAAGTGGCCGATAGACAAACCTACGGGCGCAGCTTGAATGTCTTCTCCTGGAAGAAGCAGGAACTGCTCCAAACCATCGATCTGGGAGATGGGGGAATAGCCCCGTTGGAGATTCGATTCCTGCACGACCCCAAGGAGCCCCAAGGGTACGTGGGGTGTTCGGTTAACGCCAATGTATACAGGTAATTTGTTGTATAATCTTGTTAATATGAAGAAATATTTTCATGGGGTTGTTGTTGGAAGGTTCTATCGCAAACCTGATGGTACCTGGACCGTTGATAAAGTCATCGATGTATTGCCCAAGAAGGTTTCAGGCTGGCCAGAGGATTACATACAAGGTGATACTCCAATTAACAATTAAACTGGTAATATTTGTCGATTCCTATAGGAATGATCTCCGACATTTTGATCTCCTTGGACGACAAGTACCTCTACTTCAACAACTGGTTGCACGGGGACGTCAGACAATACGATATAACGGACAGAGCTCATCCGAAACTCGTCGGTAAGCCTTTCGAATCCGGAATTTATCCAGAACAATGCATCTTCTATCGATACAAACAGGTCAAGTGTGGCTGGGCGGTCAGATACTCTCGGACTCCAAGATCAAAGTGCTGGAGGATCGGGAACTATCGGCGCAGCCGGATCCGGTGTACATCAAGGGGAAGCGGTTCTGGGGAGGGCCGCAGATGATGCAGCTGTCGTTGGACGGTAGGAGATTGTACGTGAGCTCCAGCATCCTGTCCAGCTGGGACGAGCAGTTCTATCCGGACATGGTGGAGAACGGGTCGAAAATGGTGAAGATCGATGTGGATGCGGTGAACGGGGGGATGAAATTAGACGAGGATTTCGTGGTGGATTTCGGGGAAGGTCCCGACGGGCCTTTGTTGGCGCACGAGATGAGGTAAATGTTGGTGGATTCCGAGGAATTGTTTTGTGTTTTATGTTGTTTGTTCGTAGGTATCCAGGCGGCGATTGCACTTCTGATATCTGGATGGCTACTGATTCATAATAATCTATTATACATGTTGTTATTTGTTATAGTTAGATACAAATAAAATTTTTCTTTATTACTTGTAATATACAATCTACATTATATTTGTGTATAGTGTTGCCTACCTCACAGTAACTAACGAGTTAGGTATCGAGAGAAGAATCGATTATAACAATAACTGTAATATTTACGATATATGTCAGTACAAATCAACTTAGTACACTATATAATTAATGTTTTATGTTAATGATTGTTAAAATTTGCATATATTAACTTAAAATTAACGAATAATTTAACTCGATTGTAACTGACATTTCGAATCGATATATTCCTATCGGCCGCCTACATATTTTTAAAATCGAACTAATTTTGACGTAATTGACATTTCCAAAACAACAACTGTCAATAGTGTCAAATTAATGTAAATCCTAAATGCAGGTGGTGCGTTTATCGTCAACACGGCCGTTTTTCTCCGATTTTCCGCTTTTCCCTCGGCGAAAATCCACCGACCAACCAGACCTCGTCGTTGGTATGCTACGCTCGTGCTAGGATCGCCGGGTAAAAATGAAGAGGAACATCTGCGTGGTGGCCGGTTGCCCTTCGACGGACGGCTCCGGCGATTCGGTCAAGTTCCACCAGATACCCAGAGAGGCGGAGGCGCGCAGGCGATGGCTCAAAGCGATCAACCGCACCGAGCAGGAGATCACCAAGAGGTCGAAGGTTTGCTCGAAGCATTTCAAGAAGCACGATTACGGCGTGGCTCGGTTCAATTACGCTGGCAAGAGCGCCCCTTCTGGAAGTACGATGAATATAACCTTTGAATATTATGTATTTCGAGTATCGAAACGGGCTACTTTCGTTTCAGGTGAATACTTGGCTTTGAAGGAAGAGGCCGTTCCTAATCAAAACTTGCCCCAAAAGTCCACCTTCAAAATCAAAATAAGCAAAAAGGATTCCGTCAAACAGATTAAGGTGGAGGAAGTTAAAGTTAAGGAGGAAAAATTGGATAAATCGGAGAAGTACGAAAAGGTAGGTTTTTTTTTGGCTTTTAGTTATAATTCAATTAATATAAAATAACTTATCCCCTCCCGTTTTATGAGTTACCGCCATGTTGATGACGTAAATTTGTCAACCCCTAAGAAAACTACAATTCTCGCTTTACCACCACAATTGTATTATAATAAAACGGATTTTAATCAACGAAACTCCTTATAAGTTGATTTTATTGGCGTTAAATACATTAAAAGCGACATTTTCGCCAGTTATTTTGAATTTCCCGGTCGTTCTCCATCTTCCCCCCACCAACGTTTTGACAATGACAACTTTGACACGACCAATTTAAGATGGACGCCATGCCGGTGTTTTGTTTTTAATTATTTTTCTACAAACACGAATTTCGTTTCGTAAAAGCGCGAACTTAGTGAATAAAACTCGTTATAATAAATACCTAGGAATGCTCCACCTCGTTAGGTAACATTATTTACACCTACAACTCGATTTTGTGCGTTTATGTATGTTTATAAACAATAGGATGCATTGTTTGTTTATTTCGTTACACCCCGTGTTTATTTGCAGTTGAAATTGCACAAACGACTGGCTATCGACATGAGTCCGCCGAGGCCGAGAACTCAATCGAGAAGGGCGGCGAGCAAAGAGGCCCTCAAGCAAATGCAGCTACTGTTAGACGACGAGAACGATACAGTCGAAATACCGGACGACGATGTAAGTACCAGAACAGTTACTAACCAGTTAGGGAACTAAATAGGTTGCATTGAAAGTGATGTAATAACTTGTTTCGATTTTATTTACACTTGTCGATTGGCTTCTGCGAATCGTGCGCTACGACAGTACTACATCGACGATGTACGTATTAAACCATCGTTTAAGATATTTAAACGAGTTTTACTAAATCGATTGATTGTATCATCAGGTCGTCGCGCTGGACCCGTCGCCGCCTCCTAAGAAAAAATACAAATTGAGCCACAGAAAATCGTCGGATGGCAACGGTACGTTTACAATCGAATGTAAAAGCCCAAATATATCAAATTTCATGTGTGTAGATCGCGACGTGATCGTATTGAAAACCATAACGAATCGCGATGCCGAAAATACGCTCGAACTGGACTGTTGGGTGGAACCGCTCGACGAGATCCAACAACATCGCATCGACACCTATCGAAACGAAGAGAAAGAACTCGAAGAGAAACTGGAGAAACTCATCGACGAATGCAACGGGACAGTCGTACACAAAGGCGATTCGAACACTATCATCGAAGTCGACGAGGAACTCGACAGCCCCCTACAAGGTAACCCTAAAACCCATCGGTGGGTTGTAATTTAGTTTTAAGCAATGTTGTTATACGTTTATAGGCGCTCAACAGAGCTATCAATTAGTGGTCGATCCTTCGGTGAGCGTCGTAGTGGCGAGCAATCAACAGAAAGCTTATCCGGCGAAAGTGCAGGTGGCGCAGAATCTCGCCCAATCGGGCCCTTCGACCGGCAGCGCCACATCTAGAACGGTGATTAGAACGCGTACTAAAGCTACTAGCGTATCGAACGCTAGAGGTACCACCCCGGTGTTGGCCGGTCGGGTACAAACGGCTCCGCAGGCGAAAGTCGGCGTCCCGACGCCGGGTAGACAGGCGTCGAATGTTACAGCGCCGACTCGCGTGCAAACTAAGAAACTGGTGACGGTTCCCATCGCGGCGAATACGCGCGGGAAAGGGGTGAGTGTATTATATAATAACCTAATCGATTCTAACTGAATTGTTTTGTAGCCACTTTCGAATACGTTCACCACAACGGTGCGACCGGACGAAACGAACGTCCAAGGCGGCTTGGCGACCGACGGTAAACGAGTGGTGGTCGATTTGACGAACGACGACGGCAACAAAACCGCTCCGGACAGTCGAGAGATATCGTTTAATAAACTACAAGGGAAAACGTACCCGTCGTTGGTCGTAGTGGCTCGACCGCATCTCCGTGTGGCCGATCTCGCCCAACAACGACCCCAATTGGACGCCAAAGTGAAATCGGTACTGATGCACGCCCCTAATAAATTCACCGAATGGTAATACTACAAACAATACATTGTATACGAATTAATTATACGTTTTTATATCGTAGGTTGATTCAACAAGGTCTCGTCCGATCGGAGCAAAAGTGCTCGTTGCATTGCGGCACGCCGTTAAAATTGGGCATGTACAGCGACGTATCGAAGTTCCCTTATTCAGGGGGTTACGTGTGGATATCGTTGTGTTGCCCCCAACGATTCGTATCGGTGTTTAGCGGCTCGTTGTTCGAAGGTTCCCCCCATCCGCCCATGGTCGTGTTGAAGTTGCTCTACCATTGGGCCTGTCAAACGAACATCCAGAACGTCACGCAATGGGTAAACGATATGGAATATATTACGAGACGCGGTGGTTTTTTGTTTTTTTGGGTTTTTGCAGGTTAAAGTCGACAATCTTTATGTTAAAGGGATGTTTACGTGGCTGCGTGCCGTTTGTACGGTGGCCCTGCACGCGCACGTACGACAAATCGGCGGGCCCGGCGTTAAGGTCGAAGTGGGCGTGATATCGTTGGGTACCACGTCGCAGGACGGCAACCAAAGGCAGGTGAAAGTCGAGGTACTCGGCGTACTCGAATCGGGTGAGTACTTGTTTAACACAAAGATGTGTATCGTTGATTGATTTTGGTCGTTTTTGTAGAATCGAAATTGATTCGATTGAGGGCGGTGGAACCGCAAGCGGACGGCGATCGAAACTACAAGAAGAGATTTTCGAAGATATTGGAACCGATCGCTCGATGGGTGCACCCGCAAAGCATCCTCGTAGCCGATTTGACTGTAGACAAACAAACGTTGATTAACATGGGATTCTTGAACGTGGTGCAATACTCGTCGAGCCAATACGGCAGTAACAATCAAATCATGGAGTATTTGAGGCGGATCGTACCGAGGATGTTTCAAAATACTCTATCGCTTCTATCTAGGCAAATTATCCAACAAGTACGTTGTTTTTGTATAACTTATTATTCGTTTAATTAAATCGCTAAATTAGTTTTTAGACGAGCTGGTGTGGCGCGAATGGTTCGGCACTTCTTCTTTACAAGCCTTCGATAACATCGTGACGCATTTGGCGGAGCAGACGCGCGTCGAAAGCGGCCAATCGTTGATCATGCGATTGAGCAAAGTGGCCCAAAATCCGTTCAAATGTTGGTCGGTGAATCTCGCCGACAGTTCGATCGACAACGCCAATTCGTCGACGACCAACAAGAAGCCGAGGAACGCCCGAAAGGCGGATGGGTCGAATAAAAGTACTACCCAAGCCCAAGCGCAGGAAGCTCGACCGCCCAAGAGCACTTCGCCCGATGTTCCCGAGCAGATGGTACCTTTGGAGAATTACTATTACGGTACTATCGATACGTATTCGAAAACTCCGAAGGTGACGTTGAACATCAAATGTCCCTTTTGCAAGTCGACGTTTAATAATAATATACAATTGATGAATCATTTGTTTAAACATGCTAATAATGTTTCAATGGACGCGCAGCTCTGTCGCTATTGCTTGACCAGCGTTGGTACAGCTAATGATCTACTCAAGCATATCGGTACGATTTAAATGAATACGATCGAAGAGATTCTAGTAATTCGTTTTTATTTTATAGCTTCTTCGCATCCGGCCGAAACGAAATTCGACAACGGCTTCTGCTGTCTGATATGCGAAACGCACTACATCAATCCGTTCGTGCTGGGCAGGCACATGTCGAAGGAGCACTGTCCCAGCGAATTGCCCTATTTGTGCGGCTCGTGCAACTACCGGTGCTCCAATCACAAGCAGGCCATCGATCACTTCTACAAACGCCACGACAACGGCCCCACCATACAATGTCCGTTCTGTCTCAAATCCACCACCGTGTTTACGGCCAGCCGGAACATCGTGCAAAACATGAACTACTTCATACAACATTTACAGGTCGGTATCGAATGGCTGTACAATGAGTTGTAGTGTTTGTTTCGGTTCGATTAGAAACACCAGAAGAAGCAGTTCGCCCGGCGTTGCGGCAAGTGCAACCTGTGGTTCGTGCAAAAGGACGTGCTGAAAGATCACCAGACGAAGATGCACGCCTCGCAAAGGGGCAAGGCGGGTTTGGTGCCTTGGACGGCGCCCCGTAACGGCGTCATGGTGCCCAAATCCAAGATGGACAAGTATCCGGTCAACGCGGAAGTGATTAATTTCGCCACGTTGAAGTTCGATCTGGGCAAGAGTTTGGTGTGCAAGGAGTGCAACACGCCGATGGATACGCCCAAGCACTTTCCGTATGCACTATCTCGAAGCTATATTTAATAACATTAAGATTATGTGGTGTTTTTTTAATAGATCGTTCGAGAGCTGCCAGAATCCGAATTGCCAATATTCGACTTGCTGCACGAACGCCATGATGGAGCACAATTCGAAATGCAGCAAACAAACTAATCCGATGCACGATCAGAAGTTACCGTTCGAGATGCATTGCATATGCGGATTCAGCAACAAAGACGGTATAATACACTTAACTTAAATCAGCATTTCCAATCATTTGGCGTTGGTTTTTTAGGTAACCAAATGGCGAGGCATTTGGCGTTGTGCGAACGGAAATCCGCCTATCCTTCGAAAGGGGAAGCCAAAGCGGCGACGGTGACTCACAGCATGTTGGACGTGCTGGGGTTGGTGCGAAAGGCCGAAGGCAAGCCGAAGATGAAGAGGAAACGCGACGATAAAATCGAGGAAACGGAAGAGACGGACGACAAACGGGAGGACGAGAAGGAATCGGAAGAGGAATCGGACGAGAAACACCGCGATAATTCGGAGGAGAACGCGACGGGGAAGAGCGTAGATGGCGAATCGGAGCAAATCGACGAGGAATCGGAGTGTGTAGACGAGCCGGAGATGGCGATGGATGGGAAGAAGATCGACGAGGAGGAGAACAAGCTGGATGGTATCGAAGATGCGCCGATGGAGGAGAGCGAATTCGTCGAAGCGGAAACTAAGTTAAAAGACGATAATAACGTCGAAGATGATAAGCTGGAGGAAGTCGATAAACTAGCGGAAGATGTGGATGAGGAATCGCAACGCAAAGAAAGCGAGGAAGACGTTTTGATTAACGATGAAAACGAAGCGAAAATGAGCGAGAACAAATCGGAACAAGCGGAAAAAGATGTCGTACCGAATCACATCGATGCAGCTATCGAAACGCCTGACAACAAACCGCCTGCCGTTACTTCTGTCGATGTACAGGATATTTTATCGGACGCGGTGGAGGATAACGTGGAGGATAATGAAGGAACTGTGGTGGAAGATGGAAAGCGAGAGGATGAGGTGGAGACGATCGCGCCTAGTGAAAGTAAAGAGGAGACGCCGATGGAGACTGATTAAGATTTTAGAAAAGATGTCTGGATTGTTTGATGAGCGATGTCCGGAACGAGCCGGAGCCGCGCATTAGCGAATTGATATCAGCGTTTTGTGAATCAGCCATTAAAAGAATGTTTATTTTGATCCGTTTTGTTCTATGATTTTTAGGCTGTGAGTGTTTATTTGGCTCGGCTCTTTTGCACAACAACAAAAATAACGCAATTGTATGATTATAGTACGGTAAATTTGTTAAGTGAGAATCGCAAAACTGTATTTCGTGTACTTTTATTTTATTTCTCCCTTCTCTGTACATATTAGTCGTTAAGGTACTTTTTTTTTGTATAAAAGTGCAGTTCTATAGAATGTATCCGTTTCGCAAAGACTCGAAATATTAGAATAGATGGAATTTATTTAAAATAATACGAAGTTATACGTTCGATCCTTGTTTATATTTTTTATATATTTAGGTAAACGTTTTTTAATTAGCGAATGTCCGAAATTTGTGTTGCACTAAATTGTATGGTTTAATACATTCGTTTTCTTTGCATCGCCGATTTATTTATGAACTATGGATTGATGGTCATTGATTAGTTAAGAGGGGCGTTGAGATATGGTAAACCAATTTCAGTTGGCAGCAATGAAAATAAGCCCGATTTTTCGGTGTATAAATCTCAATTTTTACTTAATTTTGAGATATAATATGAATCGCATCTGATAGAGTGAACCTTCCTGTAGGTCATAAAGGTTCAAATTTATATCCATTTATAACATTTGTAGACAAGTAACGTGACATACCAATTGAGAAGTTTCCAGACCTTGGTTATGTAAGACCGTAATTGACATTTGACAGCTATTGAGTTTCTTCTTTTATTAATAAATAAAAAAAAGAAGAAGTTTGTAGGTTAGTGATTCTTGTCAAATAAATCAACAATTTTTTGGCAATTAATTTATGGGGTTTGCACACGATTATAAGCCGGATTATTAGGAGAACAAAATGTGCGAGGAGGTTTATTTATGACGCTTATTAATCGCGCTCCTGCTCGATTACAAATACATACAAAGGCAACCATTTAATCAAATTTCGGTAATTCTGGTTGCCTATCTATTGTATTAGTAAGGCGCGAGTAATAAGTATCAGGAGTAAACCTCTTCACACATTCTGTTCTCCTAATACGAAATTTTAAATTCACGTTTTATTTCGAGATTTGAGCACAAGTTTTCGTAGATTCCAATGATTAATTTCGGATATTAGGCAAGGAGAATATGCTAGGAAGTCTAGTAACAGGAGATATTTATTATATGGAGAGAGGTACTTCTACGGAAAGTCCTGGATGAAATTTATGCTAAAAGTTTTCTCGAATTTATTGAAAAAAAAACGCAAAACTTTTGTCGAATTTATTGAAAAAAAAAACGCAAAACTTTTCTCGAATTTATTGAAAAAAAAAACGCAAAACTTTTCTCGAGTTTATTGAAAAAAAAACGCAAAACTTTTGTCGAATTTATTGAAAAAAAAACGCAAAACTTTTCTCGAATTTATTGAAAAAAAAACGCAAAACTTTTGTCGAATTTATTGAAAAAAAAACGCAAAACTTTTGGCGAATTTATTGAAAAAAAAACGCAAAACTTTTCTCGAATTTATTGAAAAAAAAACGCAAAACTTTTGTCGAATTTATTGAAAAAAAAACGCAAAACTTTTTCAAGGCAATTTGTAAAAATCGGAAGAATAGTTTTGTACATCGTTCGAAAATTTCTCGTGAAAAATTTGCGAATTTAAGAATTCGTATTAGGAGAGCAGAATGTGTGAAGAGGTTTACTCCTGATACTTATTACTCGCGCTTTACTAATACAATAGTTAGACAACCAGAATTACATTTATCGATGGAAAATCGATTTACTGGTTGCCTATTAGGTAGGCAACCAGTATTTCGGTCATTAAAAACTTATAAATGCATAATCTTTGTCAATTTTTCAAAAATCTCAAAACGAAATGCCTTTTTATGTAAAATCCTTCAAACGTTTTATTTATTTATTTAAAAAAAACAATATTTATATGTAGAAATTTATTCTAGAACAATTGAAATACAAAAGCTTTAGTATAATTACATATTGACCAAAACTTAATACATATTCAAGTTCTTAGAAATAAATTTAAAAAGATAAACACACATTTTTCCAAGAAAGAAATTATAGTCACTTATTTTAATCGAGACATAAACTAATAACTCAATATCTAATTACTACATACTATAATAATTACAAAATATTTCATTGTATAAAATAAATGCAATATTACATTTTGAATATATTTAACAACATCTTTGGATATCTACCTCTTACACTAGAATAAAATAGAAACATTACTTAAAATTTATTAGAGACTTTTAACCTCGAGTGGTATTTTATTAAGTATGTGCGGCTCGAATTTCATGTATTCTTCCTCGATAACCGACTGATCCAAATCGGCGTTTAAAACGATAACGGGAGCCTTGCACTTGTGCAACGTTTTGTTATACAGCCAAGCCTCATGTATATCATGCAAATCTCGAATATACTCGAACGCAACGGTTCTTTCTTCAGACCTATTCCTCTTCAAAATCCTCTCGAAGGCCACCTCCGGACTCGTCCGCAAGTAAACGATCAGATCTAATTGGGTATCTTCCAACTTCGTAACGTAATTGAACCATTGGTCGATGACCTCCATCGAAGGTTTAGCCATCAGGCCGTCCCTGCATAGTTTCTCCACGAAACAGTATCGAGCGCTGTAAAGGGATCTTTCCATCAGCTTGATGGGCTGTCGAGTCTTCCGTTGGTGCTGACGCAACATAGTCAGTTGTACGTACGATTGGAACGTGAAGCTCCATTTCTTCGGGTCTTGGTACATGAGTTCCTGTTGCAACAATTAACAGTATGAATACAGGGAATGTTATGAATTGGGGTGCTTACTAGTAAGTTGTAGCTACTGCAGTTCCTCCACATGTCGATCGGTTCGGCTAGCACGGCGACGTTTTGGTTTTTGTTGAAGTGTTGCAAAAATGTGGTTTTACCACTACCTACGTTCCCTTCGACGGCGACGGTGAATGGCCGGGCTAGATCGCCCCCGGAGGAGGCCACTGTTTGGGCCATTTTCGATATTATTTTTTTAACCGTATTCATGTGAAAAAACACCGCATACTTTTGTTAATTTCGAGACTTTTTTGAACGAAAACTACCCTAAACCACAACTGGAATATTCAGTGCGCCCCGTTCGTTGTTACAAATGCATTACAATTCCCTCCAATTCAAATTAAAGTTGTTATTAAAGTGGGGTTAAATTCTTCTTTTTAATATGTTATTATTTGGTCAAAATGGCCTCTTGCGAATGTCACATTCAACCATTATGGATATTTGACTTGACGTATGACATGACATATTTGACATCTGTCACTAATGGCATTTAGAATTTGCATTCTCGAGTATTTTTGATTACATTTATATACAAAAATATCAACAAATTTTGAGTGTTCGTTCATTTCGAATTGGTGCTTGGTGAATTGAACATGTTTTGTATTTTCGTGTATTGAAGAAGTTGATCTGTCGGGCTGAATCGAAAAAGGAATTATGACTTTAACCAACATGGATTCGTTGCCAGACGAAGTTTTGGAGTTCATTTTATCCCTTTTGCCCCCTTACAAGGACCTCCACGATTGCATGTCGGTGAACAAGCGGTGGAGGCGGTGCGTTTTAAGTGAGTACAAAACATTTCCTTTGTGCAAACAGCGAAACAGCCAACGACTATTTTTAGAAAGTTGTTGTTCTTCCAGGTTTGATGACTCCGAGATTCGTGCCAATTTTTTTTCTCCTCGAATTAACGCCCTCCGCTTCTAATCCATTATTCTTTCAGACGTGGCCAAACAAAAACAACGGAATTTATACCGAGCGATCAACGAGTTCGACGTGAGATGGGAGCGCATCAGCCCCATAGAAATGGCCCCGACGATATCGAAGCGCTACTCGCACGCCGCCGTCGTCTACGACAATTCCATGTTCGTCTTCGGCGGCTGCACCTGCGCCATGACCACCTTCAACGATCTCTGGCGCCTCGATTTGTCCAAACGACAGTGGATTCGCCCGCTCGCCATGGGCACCTACCCCTCACCCAAAGCCTGCAGCTCGATGGTGCGGTTCAATCACACTCTAGTGCTGTTCGGGGGCTGGACGTACCCGCCCTCGTATCCGCTCTACCAGAGCTGGCATCTGTTCAACGAGCTGCACGTGTACGATATCATTTCGAACAGATGGACTTTGATACCGACTGAGAATACTCCTCCACCGGTTGCGGGGCATTCGGTGTCGGTTGTAAACGATGATATGATTATATTCGGGGGGTTGCAGAAGCCCTGCAACGCGGTGCATTGCGAGAAGAGCAGCGATATTTGGAGGTTGAATCTGAACACGTGGACGTGGCACAAGCAAGAGGTCGAAAGTGAGTAGTTTGCGTGTGGTTTTCGTATTAGTACGATGAGTTTGTTGGTTTTTTAGATGGGCCGAAACCTGTGGGTAGGTTCGGGCAAACCCAGGTGGTGATAGATTCGAAGAATTTGCTCATTTTGGGCGGTTCGGGCGAGCCGAACTATCACTATTGCGACGCGTGGATACTAAACATGGAAGGCGAGTTGTGGACTTGGAAGAAAGTGGAAATACTGGATAAAAATAACGAACCTTTGAACATTTGGAGCAGTCCCGGATGCAAAGTAACCGCTCGTACACTCATTACAATCCACCATTAATTCGAATATATTCCAGATCGACGATAAAATAGTGGTATTGAATAGGATAAAAGAAACCAAAAAGTACCCGATAGCCTCGTATTATCCGAAAACGACGTGGAATTTAGAAAGCGCCCGAACGGCCCCCGAAGACAGCCGATTATCGCGAATAGATCTGGCCAATCGACCGACTGATAAAGACGAAAACGTCAACGGCAAACGAGGCACTTTGAGGAACCCGAGAAGAGACATCGACGAAGAATCGGTCGTAACGAACAACGTAAAAGTAAATATAAAAAGCTACCCGGAAAGCTTACGCTAAATTATTTACGTTTCAGGTACACACCCTTCCCGGTTCCTCGACGTTAAATATGGCGGCGTTCAACGGACCGGCCGAGAGGAAGATCGAAACGACGGAGAGGATTCGCGAAAAACGTTTGGCGAATCTGTTGAAAGTCGAAGAGAACCTGACGAAGGGGGCGTACAAGCGGGAGAAGAAGACTCACTATTTAGGCGTGTACGTGTTGGATATATCGAGGGTGCTGGAAGATCCGCCGGTGGCCGTTTGGTTGCAGCCGAAGAACTTGAAAAACGGTCCCGAAGAGACTATTCTCTATACGTTGGTGAAAGGGAAATCGGAGCTCGTCATGTTCGGCGGGATACAAAAGGACGCGCATTTGATAGGACTGTCGAAGAATTTGAGTAGTCAAATTTCTAATAGTTTGCATTTTATAACGGCGCCGAGTTATGTCATTTAGATATTTGAAATTTTTATGGTTTTAAATTAGGATAAACGATTCGAGGTGGTGAAATTTGGAAAATTATAATAAGTTTGATACGAAACTGTTGTTGCATTTCATTATTGTCTCAAAGTATACGATGATGTTTTACGGAACCATATTCGAGCAAGTAGAATTATAATTGTACGATTTGTTTTTAAATGTTGCCATTTGTTCAATTCATAAATTTATACGAACGTCTCACGTATTTTGTTTTGCTATCCCAAACCCGTAAATGTATACTGTAGATCTCCGACAAAAAAATTGTCAATACAATATAAATAATCTTATTACATACATAAATAAATACATTTTGATTTCCATTAACCGCAAATTTCGTGTATATAAAAAAAATACTATAATAACGAACCAACTTCAATTACCTAAACATAACGGATATTATGATATATTCATCTCCTCGTCGAAGCGGGATCCTCCAATTTCCTCCAAACGACCTACAACAAAATCACTTCACATCAAACAAGCGTACTTTTTCCTAACGAGACACCGGCCAAATTCGACTTACGTTGCACATTTCCCTCACGAGCGCCTTCTCCCCTTCGTCCATATCCTGCGATAGGGCATCCGACATATTCTCGCCGCACAACTCGTGACTCTCCCGTTCCAGTTGCTCGCGCACCTCCAACACTTGAAGCGCCCTAACCACCGCCTCCGGTCGGCCCGTCAACGCGCCCGCCCCCGCCTCCTGAGGCGCCGCCAAACTAGCATCGCCTAACAAATCACACGAGTAGTTAATTACATCTATTTCACGTAATAGGAGTTTATTTATACCGGTTTGTGCTGCTATCTGATTGATTTTGTGCGTCAGCGCCCTCTTGTCGTCTTCCAGTTGCTTCACGCGCTGCTCCAAGCTTCGCACGTACTGCATTATTTGATCTACAACAACAAAAGTTACTAATCTATAGTATTGAAATCGAACGAACGTACCGTTGAAAGTGTTCCGTTGCCTAGCCAAGCTCTCGTGCAACATCCTCTCCCTGCTCTCCGATCTCCTTTGTGGATTGGTACCGTTGAATTGTTGCGGTACCGCCGGTTCGTCGGCGTTCGTGCTCGAACTCGATCCGTCTCCATCGTCTCGTAGGTTCCCACCGGTCGTGTTAGTACCGCAATTCGGACACACGGCTCCGTTGCCTCGCTCCTCGTCCAAATACAAACACAACTCCTTCAATTCCAAGTTGTCTTTGATCAATTCCTGTTGCTTGTCGTCCAATTCGCGCAGCTTACTTTGATAGGCCGACACCTCTTGGCGCATCACGCTGGCCGTGTAACGGCCGAACCGTTGCCATTCCCTCGCCAATTTCCTACCCTACAAAAACGATATATATTCATCGAATGTAATACTTTAATTACAAATACGATAATGGTTGAGTGACTCTAAAGTCTTGCGTTTAAATTGACAGATGACAGAAATCGATTCGTTCACTTTTGACAGTTTTACATTGGTTGTTATGGAGTAACTAGGGACTGGAGACGCGACTTACTTTCTGTCTATCGTCGTCTAAAAAGCAACACAAATCTCTCAGTTCCTGATTGTCATCGGCCAGATGCTGGTTGGCTTCTTTGACGGAGCGCAGTTCCAACAGTACGGCCTGGAATTGCCGGTTGGGATCGACGAATCGCTGGTCGTCGGGTTTCCTTGGGAATTTGAACATATCGGAGCGCTGGAAATCGTCCGGTTGGCGCTGCCTGAGGTCGAGGTGGATCTGCGGAACGGCCGGTTCTTCGGGCCTCGTCGGTGGAAACTGCAGTTGGGCGGCTTTCGCCTCGTCGAGCGGGTGGCGTTGGTGCAACGGGTGCATTCTTACTACTAAAAAAGCGATACAAAAGTGAGATTTGGTGCGAAATGAGATTGGATTCGTGTTCTTACTCGGTTGGTTGTAGGGTTTGGTCTGTTCGTTGGGGTATACGAGAGTCTTGGCGTTGTCGTTGGGTTTGTGGGGCTTCTTCGATGGGTCCGGGGGAGCGTGTTTGAGGATGCCTTGGCCGTTGGGCATGGGGGGCGGTTGGTATCTGGGCGGTAGGATTCCGGCGCCCGAATCGCCGCTGATTTTGTTGCTCAGCGGTTTCTTTACGTTCGACATTTTTGGGTTCGGGTCCTAGGATGTGGAGGGCATTGCGAAAAAAAGGATTATGGGTAGCACGGATTGTTTTGTGGGGTTTTAAACTTCCAAGTGGGTCACCGTTCACGATGTAGTTTCACTTGTTGCTTCTGGTTTGGTGTGTTCCATTTTGAGATAAGTAGTTTAACGAGTATTTTTGAAAATAGTATTAAAGAATTTAATTGGTTTTAATTAAAAAAAAACAACAACAAATAATAAGAAATTAAAAAAAATATGGCTGAATTAAGAGACAAACTACATTGACAATTGACGTTTGTTTATTTTGACTTTCTCCACCAGCATGACCAACCTAAAAATCTTCGATAAAACGGCCTTTTTCATGGTGTGTATTCGTCCAACAAATTCAGGTAAATTCAAATAAAATTGCGAATAAAACGAAAACATATATTCAGAAAATACATTTGACATGTAACAAATTACGCATAAGTGAGTTATGTGCTAAAAATCTCTTAAAAGTGTACATTTTAATGTCTTGATTGAATACATATCGTGCCGTTGAATTAAAAATACAAATCGTCGAAAGTTTTACAACACCTAGTTAAATTTATTATCGTAAATTCAGACATTGATTTCGAATTTGAAATTTGATTAAACTCGCGTGCATCTCCACTCCACTCCACGTTTATCCTCATCACATGGAGTGACCAGCAGCCTCCTTGGCTTTTACAAAATATGTTAACATGTCAATCGGCAGAGGAAACACTATTGTCGAATTCTTTTCTGCTGATATTGTATTCAGAGTCTGCGTAATCAAAAACAATTTAATTTTCTCCTCTAATTTGCAATAACATGTTCAGAGCGATATTTCACGATTCCAATATTTGGCCTCTTACTGAGCAAACAGTTCGTACAAATGTACTGAGCAAAAGAGAAGAATTTAGTTAGGGGATTTGCGTAAATATCACTCTGTTTGAATGTAATAAAAATGCATATGAAGCCGTGTTTAAGAGCGTAATTAGTCCTTAAAAATCTTTACAAGTGTTACAAAAGAAAGCTAGAATTCGAATTAAATACAATCAAATATTTACTATCGAGACGAATCCAGTGTGTCCAGTACTGAATTCTTCTCTAATAACGTAATCGCATCCTTTATCGTATTAAAAATAACAAAAAAGATGCGAGTACAATTACACCAAATAGTACAAAATCCAGAGTGTCCTTTACTGGAATGAACAAATCAAGAAATTTAGGCCATTTTACACAAAATATTTCGTTACTGTAAAAAATCAGAACGCTACTGGTTTGTCTTGCGTAAACACTCGATATATGATTTTCTAAATTCATGTGCGATATAGTAACACGAGAAGTAACTATTCGTAAGCGAGAATTTGTATGTACAACGAGAAATTAAACAAATTAACCCTGCATAAATAAGGTAAAAATTGCTACAAATACATAGTATGTATAGATTCAAATAGAATTAATCCAATGCCAATCACGAGCTTAAAATTTGGCACCAGTTAATGCGTTCCTTCGAAAGGGGTTGGTCCCGAATTAAGCGATATTTATATATTTAATTAATATTCAAACACTACGACAACAAGACACCTAACTAACGATTATAATATTTAAGTAATTATATAACAGCTTTCCAATTAATTTAACGGTTAATATTCCCTATTAGGAAATACATTTCGAAACACCGACAAGCCTCCAAAGGAACTTCGGAAGTGGAATTGAATATGAACATATCATGTTAGCCTATTACGAGAAATTGCGCGAATAATCAATTTTTCATTCGAACCGTCCGGGATTTTCCATCAAGTTAAGAAGCCTTCCGCATGAGCTTTTCCACCATCATGTCGAGCGGAACGGGGTAAATAATTGTCGAGCTCTTCGCAGTGCAAATTTTCGCCATGGTCTATATATATATACAAAACAATTATAAATAAACCGAAGTTTCCCTGTTTTTTTGTTTGTTCCATTCAATAACATTCAATCACCGTGACCTGACCAATCGTTTAGATAAAAATACGCTTATATATAGTACGAGTAACACACCTAACTTTTTCTACTTCTAACGTTATAGCACCAATCCAAATGGCTCCGCAATCCATCTGGGTTTTATGTAACAACATTTAATTCTAATTCGATTAATTCTAGAACGCTTATTTTCCGAACCAACGAGGCATTTATCAACCCCCACGCTAACTCTATCCTACCTCGAATTTTATATGTATTTGTAGCATAAAAAAAAACCTCGTTAAATTAAGTTTGTTAATAAAAACCGAATTGTGTTGGTTTGTTTGCCATTTAACGAGCTTTTTCCCGCGAACAAGCGTGTATATAGAGTAAATTTACGAAGCGAGTGCTTAAAATAACATTTCGATTATATTATTTATAAGTTCCATAACACAGAATACTTGATGGCCTTTTTCGAAATAGTGCACAGCCTATTTTAATATCCTACAGAGCGATCCTCTACAAGCAGCTTTTACGAAAACCACCCTGTATATTTTATTATTTATATTCATATTGATTTAACAATTCGAACGTTCGCTCGCTTTTTATGATTTATATAAAATAGTATTTACCTACGATAAATTCGTATTTATTGTATGGTCAGTTTTTAAATCTGATATATATATTTTTCAGTACAATTCGAAATTTAGGTCATACAATATTAACAGTTAATTATATAAAATATCATCTAATACTCCCCTCGTATAATCGAATACTACGAGGGAGGTCCGCTTATTAATGTGCACTTAACGTCTCTTTGATTCGATTAAATAGTACGATTTTAAAATCAGCGCGTCGACAATTTCATTTTTATAGTTCAGAAAATTGTCGGCGAAATTCTAAATTAATTGGCGCCATCTTTTAATTAACTTACACAATAATTAATTAAATCTACATAAATACTTTTTGAGTGTGTGTGTGTGATTAGAGTGAATTTATTTCGCATCCCCGGCTCTCATAAAGTAGGACAAAATGTCAATCGGAAGCGGAAATACAATGGTCGAATTCTTCTCGGTGGAAATCGTGTTGAGTGTCTATTGAAAAAAAAAATAAATAAACAAAGCCAAATGATTATCCACTACATCAACATCGTCCACAGTAAAATGAATTCCTCTTTAATTCCATCATTCGAATATGCGAGTTTAATAAAAACGAGATAGATCGAAAACGATACGCGACCTGACAAATTATTCATTCTCGTGAGATCGATAATTTCATTAACCACTCGTTACAAATAATTAGTTCGTTCGAGCGAAATTGCCGAATTAAAAACCACTTGAACGATGAACAATAAATCATGTGAAATTAATTGGTTAATAGAGTTTGCACTACAAAAAGATATGATTCAGGGGATTCCCCCGACTGTGTTAAATTACGAGGGTAAGGTGAAAAGTTCTCGACCTAAGAATGAACGACAATTCAGTTGTATTCTTCGTATTAAGTCAAACCCGGACAGTTTTAAATGATTTCGGAGAGTTCTAAATGATTCTAGATAGTTCTAGAATTAATTATAAATGTGCCGAAAAAGGAAGATTCTATGCTGATTGGAGCGTCCCGTGCATCATGCCGAGAACTTATCGATCTTTCCCCGTACATAATACAAACTTATCGCGAAAATAACAGGTTAGTAAATCCTTGACGCAATCGAAATGCCTTCTATATTTATGCATAAATAATATTTCATCGAATCGATTTTACGTTCCGGTTTTAGTTTTTTCCGTTTACTTAGGGGGCGCCCGTCGAGTATCAATTTCCACCCCGTCGCGTCTCATTATACTCCGGGGAATCCGGAATGCGTTCGACAATCGATCATCTCGGGCGTCGTTAGATAATAATCGAAAAATTAAAGAGCCAGGATCGAAGAAACTCCGGCTCGAAGGACCAAAAATTGGCGGCTCGAAGGACCAAAAATTGGAGGATATTCAATCAATTTCCCTGCGAGTTTGTTTCGAACCTGAGCTGCAGGTTTACAACCGCGGGATTGAATGTTTGTACCTAATTGTCAGGTCACGGATCATTTCGAATTACACGAAAAACGCATGCACTATTTTTACATCGACATGCGCCGAAAAAAAGGATCCCATGCTTTCGGAATTTTTGAAAAAAAAACAAACAGCAAATGCATGTTTAACGAGCAAACTTAACTTTCGTCGCGTATAGAAGGCATTTTCTTCCACTTAAACTTAAACATGTCTTTTTTTTTCGGGTTGAAAAGTTCGCTTTTTCCGAAGGTTTTTTTTTTTCGTTGTGTGCAAATGTCGAAGTTCCACCGAAGCGGCTTTTAATGGCGCAAAAACGGTTCTATCAATAATTCAGCGTTACGATGAAAAATTAAAGCGATATCGGACCGCAATCGGTCAATCGTGATTTCGATCGTTTATAGAGAAAAGCCATTTTCCAATTAAATATTAAGAGCAATTGCACTTGTGTGGCGACCCTCGAGGGTCACCTCATGTTTCCCGTGAAATGTATTAATTTTTTGTTCGAATTTTATTCGATTGGTTGACTCAAATTTTTTTCCGAGCGTATAAAACAAATATAACGTAATATCTAACAAAGAACCGATTCATACATGCTAAACCGTGCGAATTAATTGAATTTTATATACATATGTACATGCTTTATAACACGTTCACTGCCGCAATCTTCGTGCAGGGTTGCCAAGCAGTGCGCAAAAATCACAACAGCCGGTTATATAGAGGGAAAAATGGATAGAAAGAACACTCTGGATAAGAAAAATTAACCATAAACTTGCAAAATATATACACAACGCCGTTTCGAGAACAATGTACAGGGGAGGCAGTGAAAGTGTTAAACGAATTTACCACACCGATTTGTATGTACAGTTAATTTCGTTTCGTGCTACATTCAAATACCAAAATCTCGTCACGACTGAAAGTAAATTTCGAACTATTTCGATCTCGGTAATCCAGCGATAAAGTTGTTGTACAATGAACTTCAATATAGGAATTTACTATTGTTTATATAAATGAGTTATATTTATGCAAGTGTTTTTTTTTTTGGTATTTATTGATCTTATTGATCGGATTAGTTAATAGGAATTATTTAGCATTTACCGAAGATGTTTCTGTTAGTATTTTCTTGACCATTTTCAGTGTTTATTGATCCTTTAGTAATCATGCAGTAGAGAACTTTTTTTGGAAGTTTTTTAGTAGGTACTTATTGATTCTTTACTGACCATCTTTACAGACCTTTTTCCAGTCTTCCTGGACCTTTCCCAGTGTTCATTGACCCTTTACCAATCTTGTAGTAGAGCTATTGATCACTTATCAAAGTTAATTAAAGTCTGCAAGTGTTTTTTTTTTGTATTTACTGATCTTTTACGGATTTGTTAATAGGAATTATTTAGCATTTACCGAAGATGTTTCTGTTAGTATTTTCTTGACCATTTTCAGTGTTTATTGATCCTTTAGTAATCATGCAGTAGAGAACTTTTTTGGACGTTTTTTAGTAGATACTTCTTTACTGATCATCTTTACAGACCTTTTTCCAGTCTTCCTGGACCTTTCTCAGTGTTCATTGACCCTTCACCAATCTTGTAGTAGAACTATTGATCACTTACCAAAGTTAATCAACCTCCGCCAGTGTTTTTTCTACACATTTTTCACCGTTTATCGATCATCAACACCAAAAATCATCGTTCGATCACCGCAATTTACTTTCAACCGATCCCGATAACACGAATTAAAAAAAAAACCACCCCCCTAGACCAAAAAAATCTCGAGACTTACCTGCAAGTAGCGCAATTGCAGAGCGGCCGGCGAGTCCCCGATCACCTCCGAAGCCTCCCTCAGAGCCCTCGAGGCCTTCTGCTCCCCTTCGGCGGCGATCACCTTGGCTCTCGCCTCCCGCGCCGCCTCCGCCTCCGCCGCCATCGCTCTCTGCAACTGCACCGGCAAGCGGACGTCCTTGCTGTATACACACAAAGTATCAGGCCACAAACCCGCCAATAAGAAAACAAAACAAAAAAAGAAGCATCGAGAGATTACCCCTCACGAAAGTGTATTAGTACATCGAAAAGTGCTTTAGAAACCGTCGGAAAATGGGTATATATTGAGACAAATAAGCCCTCTTACATTTCGACGCGTTCGACGTTGATGCCCCAGGAGTCGGTGGCCTCGTCGAGGAGGGCCTTCATGTGCTGCGAGATGCTCTCGCGCTCGCTGAGGATCTCGTGCAACGGCCGCTGGCCCATGATGTTCCGCAATGTGGTCTGGGCGAGGAGCCTCGTCGAATGGTGGGCGTTCTCCACGTTCGCTATGGACACGGTGGCGTTGGACACCCTGTAGTAGACGACGGCGTCGACGGACACCGTCACGCTGTCCTTGGTCAATACCTAGGAGTGGAGGGTAGAGATGTAGATGGACCGGAATTCGCCATACAGTAGATTATAGTGTAGAGAGTAGAGGGAAAGAGTATATAGATGTTAAAGAGTAGAGAATGGAGGGTAGAGACTGTAGAGAGTGATGGGGATAGAGTAGGTAATAGAGGGTAGAGAATAGAAGGTACGCTGTCCTTGGACAACACCTAGGAGTGCAGAATAGTGATGTAGATGGACCGGAATTCGCCAAATAGTAGATTAATGTAGAGAGAAGAGGGAAAGAGTATATAGAAGGTAAAGAGCAAAGAGTAGAGGGTAGAGAGTATTGGGGATAGAGTAGGGAATAGAGAGTAGAGAATAGAAGGTACGTTGTCCTTGGTCAATGCCTAGGAGTGAAGGGTAGAGATGTAGATGGACCGGAATTCGCCATACAGTAGATTAAAGTGTAGAGAGAAGAGGGAAAGAGTATATAGATGTTAAAGAGTAGAGAATGGAGGGTAGAGACTGTAGAGAGTGTTGAGGATAGAATAGAGAATAGAGGATAGATAATAGAAGGTACGCTGTCATTGGTCAATGCCTAGGAGTGGAGAATAGTGATGTAGATGGACCGGAATTCGCCAAGAGAGTAGAGGAAATGAGTATATAGATGGTAAAGAGTAGAGTGAAGGATAGAGGCTGTAGAGAGTGTTGAGGATAGAGTAGAGAATAGAGGATAGAGAATAGAAGATAAGCTGTGCTTGGTCAATGCCTAGGAGTGGAGAATAGAGATGTAGATGGACCGGAATTCGCCAAGAGAGTAGAGTGAAAGAGTGTATAGAGGGTGGAGAGTATTGAGGATAGAGTAGAGAATAGAAAGGTAGATGAACTTACTTCTTGCGGTGGTATATCGTAGGTTCTTGTCCTCAAATCGACTCTTGCGTAGGCATCAATGCAAGGTAGAATGAAGAATATACCTGAAATAATAGAAACCGAAAATAATATACGGGTAGATGGAAAATTGTTTGCAATATAAGTTATACAAGTGCAACAAAGACTCTTATAAAAGGGAAAAAAAAAGAAAGATCTTTCTTTGTTCTACTCATAGTGCAAACAAATTTGCACATATCTGTATATATTTTTCAACTAATTAATAATATATACCGCTTACAATTGAATATTTGATTGGCCAATGCATCATGCCATTATAATAGGACAGATAATTGATTCGTATATAGTGCAATCAATAATTTAATGTGGTGTCGTCATCAATAAATTAAGGTAAATTTGCTATATACATACCGGGACCTTTGGCACCTCCGGAAAGTAGACGGCCCAAACGAAATATAACGGCCCTTTCGTATTCCTGCACCACCTGTAAAAGGAAACAATCGTATCGAAATTTGGTCCACCCTGTATATATATAATCAGGACAATGAAAGTAAAACTCGAGCAAACTAAGACGGAAGAACCTATTACAAATTGCTGTATTTGTTCTTTAATAATGGAAGAAGCAAATATTTAACAACCCTTATACATATTCCTCGTGCACCGCGATTTTCAGTTGGAAAATTATGTTAATCTTCTTATTGAGTCGAAATTTTGATAGTTCTAAACGATTCTGGAGAGTTCTAGATTGTTACAGACAGTTTTTACTGATTCTGGAGCGTTCGAAATGTCTATGGAGCGTTCTAAACGGTTCTAAATATGGTACTAGATAGTTCTAATTGATTCTGGAGCGTTCTAGATTGTTCCAGACAATTTTTAATGATTCTAGAGCGTTCGAAATGTCTATGGAGCGTTCTAAACGGTTCTAATTGAGTCTGGTTCTGAATAGTTCTAGTTCTAGATAGTCTATATCCTGCGGTATTAATTGTGAAAAACAAAACAAAAATTTCCTTTCCTCATTATCCCGACCACAAAATATGCAAACTTTCTTTTTCTTTCGCCCATTCCATAGAAAATTTTCCAATTTTCGAACCCATTTCGTAAAACGATAAGTCCGCCCGGAGCGGTTTCGCTCTTTTCGTATATAGAAAACGGGAAACGTTTTACTCGACGGTTTTAATTGGATTTCGCTTCCGATATAATTAGAACGTTAATTGAATTGTGACAAGAAATATTTACTCTATATACACGCACCCGGTAATTTCTCCCGGCGTTTTTCGCTTTTATATGATAAAAGTTTAATTTCCCGAAGGTAAAGCACGCATAAAATGGAGATTGATGTGCTTAGGAGACGCCTTTTTGAATAAAATATGAGAGCGAAAAAGCCGAGATAAGTGAACAAATATTAAATAGAATTGTTTTGCACACTGTATGTTTTTCTGTTGACGGGATTTTCCAGTTCACAGCAAATAAATCGCGGAAAAATCAACCTTGCGAAATCTTTGCGGGGATTTTCCCTTCTTCGACTGGCTTCCGAACGTGTTCCGCATATCGCATTTCGATGGAGCATTAGAGAAAGGAAGAGGGAGAAATCTTTTTGATGTATTATTAATGCAAGACTCGCAGGGTTTATGTCCGGGGCAACTTCGAGAGTATCTTACGAAACGATTTTCCGGCTAGCTGCTCTGAAGGAAACCGAATACGGGTGTATAATTGACGAAACGTTGTACTAGTATGTATTGATTGAGAATATATGGGGAATTACTCACCTTGAAGCACACCATAAGTGAGAAAGGCATGGTCAAAACGACGACTATCCATGACAAAACCGTGAGGATTTTCCCGCAAGTTTTGTTTTCTTCGATGACTTGTTCAGCTGTAAAGAAAATTTACTTATTAAATAAGCTATTTTACTACGAAATTATTAGTTAGCGATTTTCTGTTATAGATAATCGCTAAATACAAATTGCTATTCAGCGCCTCCTATGTTAGCGTTTCTTTGACTAAACACATTTAATGTCAACGCTTCTCCTTCTTCAATTTTTAGTATTATATAATTTGGATAGAATTTCAGATTTTTAAGCGATTTTACAAAAATATCACTAGATACACCTTACGATTAAACTCGGACACAAAATTTTTCACTCGGACATTAAAATTGATTTCAGATGGTTAAGGAATTTAATGGTTAAATCTTGCGAGCCCTCCATCTCACAGTTTCTACTTGTCATATTGACGTAAGATGTCAAATATGTCAAAGTGGTAAAAGCGGCACACTGGATTTTTTTTTATGTTCGTGCTGCATTGAAAAGCGACCCCCGAAGGCAATTTCGTTTAGGAATTATCCGCATCGAATATCGCGATTTTCCAGGAGGAAAAAAACGCCTATTCATACTTGTTGAATCGTTTTCGACGAGGGGGCGATGGAAAAAAAATAAACGAAACTCATTACATTGCACGAACGAAAACCGGCGGATCCGGGAAATCGATTTAAACTTTTCCTATATTCAAGCGGAAAATCTCCGCGGTTATTTTTTTCGTAAAATTCGCTCGAACTCGCGCGTTGTCAAAAGTCAATTGTCAATTTCTAATCGAGTTGTTTGTGCAACAGAGACAACTTCCATTAGGCACTTGTAAAAGACAAAGGAAGATTGTGTCATTGCTACTTATCACTCTGTCAACTGTCATTTTAATAATCTTTCTTTGTTCAACTCGTAGAAATCAAGCAAAGACACGGATTTGCTCTTATGCTACTTACAAAAATCGATTAATCAATCAATCTCTATATCGAAGCGTTACTTTGTTTTTACCCCTTTTAGTAAGTTAAAGAATGATTGATGAAAATCAAGATGGCTATATACATAGAAAAAAATAGTTTGACATTTGGTGTCAAGTGTCTACCGGATAAACAAACGCGATATTAGCCTCGTTTACCCGGAAAAATCCTCGCCTTCTATTTGCGAACAATCATCTTTTTTCTAGTAAGTGACACTTGACATTTAACGAGGATATGCGACGGAAAGAGCGAGATTTTTCCTCACGTTGTTAGTCTAGCATAATCTAAATGGAACGGGAAAACATCAAATAACGTTTTCCCGACGGTGTTTTTACAGAATAGAACGTTAATTGTACGCGACGTAACAATTAGGAAATTTAAAATGGTGGATAAATGACACGTGACGTGTTTGATATGTCAAAGTTTATACCGAAATTGGATCAATATGAAGGCTAAAGAGGAGGTAAAAGAGATGGTTTAATATTTAACGAACTCGAAACTCCAATTATATTAAATTGAAGTACAAGATCCTCGAAGTGTACGAACATTTCTTCTTTTATTCAAATTACACCGATATAACTTTTAGTTGCCCTAATGGAGGCGAAACGACGTAATTCAGGTCGTATATTTTTTATTACGCTTTAAGTACCTATATATCCCCGTTGTTTTTTAAATATTCATTTATCGGATACATCGACTCGCTTTTATCTAATTGGATGTTCGAAAATACATCAGAGTAGAAGGAAAAACGTGTTTTTTTCCCTCTCCATTAACATCAACGCCCAGATTCCATTTTTTAACGCTTATTTTGATGTTATGTTGGCTACACTGTAAAATTGTTCCGTGTCATTTTTGACGTTTCGTTAGTACGAATCGCGGTCGTATATAACCAGGTCAGGAAACTCCAAGTTACCATAAGCGCACTATAACTCAAAATACGCCGAGTTTCCAGACCTTGTATGTAAGACCGAGCTATGAATTACGAATCGTTTTTAACAGTGTTTTCAGTAATACCAACATACATACAAAAGTTACGTTGGTAACAAACTTTACCTGTTCGAAAAGATAAAAAGTTTGGTATGGAATCCCTTCGGGAAATGTTCGACGTCCAGCGAGGAAGTTTCCCAACACCCTTTCGCGGTCGGAGCGCCGGAAAATCCCGTGAAAACTTCGCCTTATTATAAATTCCCTGTACGTTATTCGCAGATTATGAAATATAAAATTTAACTAACGCCGGTATATTAAAAAAAAATTTAACCGGGAACTGATTTATTAACCTTATAGGGAACTCGTTAAAAGTGTGTATATAAAAGGAAATTTTAATAATTACTACCCCTTATTTTGTGGATTATTCCGGTGAATTTAGAACCGACAGTTAATTACCACCTTAATCCTATGTAATCAGCTTAGTAGAGCATTATCGCAATTTATTCAATTAATTAACAGCTCCTCCATTACAGCTTAATTGCTTTTCTAAATCACAAACAATTACCTAATTATTACCTAAAAGTTCGAGGGGAAAAAAGGGTACATGACCTCTGAAAAAATATCACCCTGTAGAATTCAACAACCATCTGACATACCCAATAACGTGCGCCCTATAAAGCAATCCAGATTCAAAATTTGAGCTAAATATCTCATAAAATGCAAAAGCTACAAAGAAAAAACCAAAAAAAAAAAATTGAAATTTCAACACCTTGTTTATATGAACTTTTAATCATAAAATAACCCAACGAATCACCCCCTTTCGGATGTACACGATGTTTAGGAACACCCTGTATGGTATATAAATTGATATAAACAAAACAAAAAAAAAACTACAAATACAACTGACCTTCAGTGGACATTTTCGCGTGCGTTCGGGATACACCGGGTCCAGACCACGACTTTTTCCACGACGATCAAAACCCGCCGTGGGCCTTCATGATGGCTGTCGCGCCGCCGGAATGCCAGCGAGAAATGGTGGAATGTGGACCGGGAATCGAGCAGAGGAAAAGCGGAAAAGCTCCCGTCGATCGGACGGCAGGCGAGCTTTTGTTCACCCGATTCTACTTCTCTACATTCTCACCCCGAACTCTCGCACGCCCTTATTCGACGAGCGGCCCGAATTACGCCGAATTCGAGCCGATGCGCGCTTTGCACGATACATTTACCGCCCTTAGGCCCGTCGATCGCGGAGCAACTGTTTCGAAATAAAGATTGCAAACCAGTTGATCGTGCAACTGTTTTGCAACCCAAACGAAACTAGTTTGCAATGAGTCATAAATCCGATTTAGGCCCACCGCTCGCGGAGCAACTGTTTCGAAACAAAAAAATTGCAAACCAGTTGATCGTGCAACTGTTTTGCAACCCAAACGAAACTAGTCTGCAATAAGTCATAAATCCGATTTAGGCCCACCGCTCGCGGAGCAACTGTTTCGAAACAAAAAAATTGCAAACCAGTTGATCGTGCAACCGTTTTGCAACCCAAACGAAACTAGTCTGCAATGAGTCATAAATCCGTTTTAGGCCCGTCGATCGCGGAGCAACTGTTTCGAAACAAAAAAATTGCAAACCAGTTGATCGTGCAACTGTTTTGCAACCCAAACGAAACTAGTTTGCAATGAGTCATAAATCCGTTTTAGGCCCACCGCTCGCGGAGCAACTGTTTCGAAACAAAAAAAAATTGCAAACCAGTTGGTCGCGCAACTGTTTTGCAACCCAAACGAAACTAGTTTGCAATGAGTCATAAATCCGTTTTAGGCCCATCGCTCGCGGAGCAACTGTTTCGAAACAAAAAAAAATTGCAAACCAGTTGATCGTGCAACTGTTTTGCAACCCGAACGAAACTAGTTTGCAATGAGTCATAAATCCGTTTTAGGCCCACCGCTCGCGGAGCAACTGTTTCGAAACAAAAAAAAATTGCAAACCAGTTGATCGTGCAACCGTTTTGCAACCCAAACGAAACTAGTTTGCAATGAGTCATAAATCCGTTTTAGGCCCACCGCTCGCGGAGCAACTGTTTCGAAACAATAAATTGCAAACCAGTTGATCTTGCAACCAGTTGCGACTATTATTGAAACAGTTTCAATCAGTTGCCATAGTAATTTATCGAATGTCGAATGAATTACACCAGAAATTGGCAAGAATTTAAAGCAACTTGTAAACTGCAAAGCGACTGCGACCGCTGGAAATGGTCGGGTACAACCGGTTTATGACTCATTGCAAACTAGTTTCATTTGAATCGACTACTATACATTGCCGAGGTTGCAAAATAGTTGCAACATCAACCGGTTTACAATTTTTTGTTTCAAAACAGTTGCTTCGTGAGCGGTCGGCCTTATTCGTACACATGCTTCGTTATTAGTTTGTTTTTTACAATACAACATAGTTTGTTTTATGTACTTCGTTTTTTTTTTGTGGCGTTTTGCGTGATTAAAAACGAGCCAGGCACACCGCGATTAACGGTAATTGGATTGTTTTTACAAGGGTATTTATACGAAAAGGGTTGGTACGCTATATACGATACATTTTAAGGGTTCCTTTTAAACGTCTTGCACGGTTTATAAGCTTGGATTAAGCTGGATCTCTTCCGCCTGGTAAAATACACCCCTAATCCCCTATTCACTCTAACATATTTGATCATATTTAACCCCCAAGCACTGTATAAATGTATCCTAATATGTGGTAATCTTGAAACAGGTTCTGTTATTGTAGATAATATTCACTCACTATATCTAAATTTATTTTTTTTTTGAGATTCTGCTCCTCTCCTCTCCTCTCCTCTCCTCTCCTCTCCTCTCCTCTCCTCTCCTCTCCTCTCCTCTCCTCTCCTCTCCTCTCCTCTCCTCTCCTCTCCTCTCCTCTCCTCTCCTCTCCTCTCCTCTCCTCTCCTCTCCTCTCCTCTCCTCTCCTCTCCTCTCCTCTCCTCTCCTCTCCTCTCCTCTCCTCTCCTCTCCTCTCCTCTCCTCTCCTCTCCTCTCCTCTCCTCTCCTCTCCTCTCCTCTCCTCTCCTCTCCTCTCCTCTCCTCTCCTCTCATCTCATCTCATCTCATCTCATCTCATCTCATCTCATCTCATCTCATCTCATCTCATCTCATCTCATCTCATCTCATCTCATCTCATCTCATCTCATCTCATCTCATCTCATCTCATCTCATCTCATCTCATCTCATCTCATCTCATCTCATCTCATCTCATCTCATCTCATCTCATCTCCTTTACTCTACTCTACTCTGCTCTGCTACTCCAAGAGCGAACCTACTCTTAATCTACTCTAAATCTACTCTATAAGCAAATCAACTTTGAATCTACTCGAAATGGTGGAAATGTGAAAACTCTGGAACTTCCACGAACTAATCAATTCATTATTCCTCCAGCGATTCGGAGATATGCGAACAACAAACAACACGTAGCTCACAACAAGAGCCTCCTACAACTCGAAGATGGCTCTAACGTGATGGGTTTCTATGGGGACTCGAGTAGACCGAACTTTCCCGTAGCTGCCCTAATTGGGATTTATTCCGCAAATTAGGGTATAGGCCCTTTCGATTAGTATCTAAATGGAATTGATGCTAGCTCTAACTATTTGCGAATCGCTCTTTCCGCTCAAATAATTACACGTGCCGGGTTTAAATGTAAATAAAGCGACCTTCTCGCGGACTTTTCTATACAGATAACCGATCGGTTTATGGAAACATCGCGATCCATAATTTTGTTATTACATTTTACGCCGTACACTCGAATCAATATCGATGAATAAATTACTTAACCTGATTTAAAAATCGATAGGAAATAAACCCTTAATGAGGTTTATTCCATTATAAACTCCATTATAAACGTAAATATAATATTCCGAGTACTCGAGAATTAAAATCTCGAAATAGACGCCTTTCGGTTCGAATTATTCATTTTAAATAAGACGATCATTTATCAAATAAATCGACTACTTACTAATTCGTGTACTCGTTTGATGTGCTTGTATTTCGTACTTACATGTCGATGGAGCGTTTCCTGAAACAAAATAATTTTCTTCTAATTACAATCGTAAATATTACGATAAAATTATATTGATTTTTTTTTTTCATAAATATATATCACTCGCTCCTTTACTATCTACATGAGCGAAGGGGTGTACTAGAAAAGGAGCGAGAATTCAAGTTGGTACACGAGAAGTTACTTGTTTCGCTATAACTGCACCATTATACAGAAATGTACAAGGGTAGAGTGAAAAGTTCTCGGACTGACAATGAAAGACCGCGATTTTCAGTTGGAAAATTACATTATTCCCCTTATTAACTCGAAATATTTAGTTTCTAAACAGTTTTAATTGATTCTGGAGCATTCTAAATAACTATGGAGCGTTTATAGACAGTTCTAGAATCATTTATAAATGTCCAAAAAGAGGAAACAAGAATTTATGCTGATTGTAGCCGAGAACTTTCCACCCTACCCTCGTATACCAAGCAATAAGAATTCAACATTTAGGTCTTTTGTTGATGAGTTTCTAAACAGTTTTAATTGATTCTGGAGCGTTTCTAAACAGTTTTAGAATCATTTATAAATGTCCAAAAAAGAGAAAACAAGAATATTTGCTGATTGTAGCCGAGAACTTTCCACCCTACCCTCGTATACCAAGTGTCTTTTGTTGACGGTATAGTTACACTCAAAAAAAAGTTGATACAACGGTATATTCGAAGTCGTTTCGGTTAAATAACAAATTGGAGAGAAAAAAAAAAAAAGGGAATTTTTATTACCTCCGAATACATGTTTGGTGAAATCCTCCGAACTGGCATTGTGGCCGTTCGTTATCGCCGTAGACATTTCAATATCGGGGCCGATTCTCGCCTCGCTCGTCGCCACCTACAGACAAATCAAGCGATATTAAAGTCCCTCTCGAATAGCCGGAGACGAGCGCGACATCCTGCGCGATATCCGGCCCGTTTCGATCGCGAGTCGCGCACCTCGCGTCCCCGGCTATCCCCGTCGGTCTGTACGCGAAATTCCTGCAACACTTTAGAAACTCACCTTTCTTGGAATCTCGAAAACAACGATGATAAAGTCGAATTAAGAGCGTTCGAAACGCGTCCGAAAATCGTAATAAACGCAGCAAATAGAGCGAGCCGGCCGCCTCGAATTAGCCACGTATTTTGTTTCGACGTCGCGACGGCGACGCGCAAGCCTCGCCGTTAAAAATGGTAAATAACTTTCGACGCCGGTGCTATGGTAACCCCCCTGCGGGGGGGTCGGGTGTTATCACTACAATGTTCACTATAATGTCACTGTTTGTGGAGCTCGGGCGGTTGCAGGAGCAGGTTTCGTTTAAAAATAGGTTTCGTAGGCGATGGTTAAATTTAAATATAAAACGTTTGGGTCAATTGAGGTTTATTAGATGATGAATCACGAATCGAAATGGCGGTGAATAATGTTAGAGAGGATTTCGTGTGATAGGGAGTAAATGAAATTATCGTTGGAGGTTTCGATTTTTATTGTTAGGCAAATATTGGCACATTTTTCTCGGTGTATTCTAACAACGGGGAATTTATAAGAGGATTATTTTCGAAATAACTTATGTACAAATTACATATTTACATGTCGCTAGAGTTTTGTAAATAAATACGCTTAAAGTACACATTAAAACAAGCCAAATAAGTCGGTTTAAAATAGATAAGTGCAAATTTGTATGCAATACAAAAATAACTTTTATTAGCTTATACAGGTTCTTCTTTTAAATTTGTTTCATTGGGACACCCTGTATAAAGGAAAAAAAGGGTGATGTTGTGGGTTGATTGCAAATTTCTCGCTCTAACCCGCTGGTTTTTCAATAACCTTTCTTTGTTCATCTCGTATTGCGAACAAATTTGCACTTACCCATATGTAACAAAAATATTTCATTATTTATTTACGAAACTTAAGTACACTAAAATGTGTGTTTATTTATATTCACTGCTTATCCTAAGCTGATAAAATCTAAAGGTTTAATAAAAATAATCTCTTAAAAGTTTGTACATTTAAAAGAAAAAAAATATGAAATTTGAAATTATATTACCAAACGACTGTTTTCAATAAACAAAAAACTTATCGATTTAGTATCACAATATATTTTTATAATACAGTGTT